AAGAGTGGACAAAAAATTATTATTATTAGACAAATATGGACAAATAGTGGACAATCTAATGCCATATAGATTTTGTCAAAATTCATACTTAGGGGTGCCAACTTCACGCAGCTGATCGGTGGATTTCTCGCGCTCCACTCTACGGTCAATCTTGAAAAAAAAGAGATTAAAAAGTTATATTTTAAAAGGAATTTTGATGAAATTTTAACAGCGTTTGTCCCGCGACTCTCAGCGAAGCGATGTCAACGTAACTTCATTCTTCGGCTCCTAAGATAGAGCCCATTATCACGCCTTATAGTCCCACTTTACAAACGAGGAGCGAGAGAATTATCGGGTCACGAGACGAGGCATGACGCCAAGAGACGCGGGCGTCTCCCTTCTTCCTCCAGTGCCGAACTTGACGTAATGCCGAATCGTAATATCGAAAAGATTTCGAATTTCCAGCGCAGCCGAACGCAACTCCCAACGCGACTCATTTTTCATTCCGCATCTTTTACGGAAAAGTCCATAAATCCGGCCTCATATCGATTTCGCGCGGCGTCAGCTCACTTCTTTTACAAAGAAAACGAGAAAGTTGTAGATTATTTGACGTTGAACATTGAGGAATGAATATCGAGAGCGAAAGAAAGCTCAGACTATAGGTCTTGCGATCAAAATAACTGCAAATCCCTTTGAGATACGTTTCGTCTATAGAAAAGGTGCCCCACTTTTCCATCGGATCACAATTGAGAGTGGACAGGTGTTCTCCGTGGCTATTACGAAGTCAATCTTTAACAAAAATGAAATACGAAATAGTTTTTGCAGTCACAAACGACGAAGTTGCCGAGTTATTTTTTAATTACAAGCGATGAAATTGTCCAGTTGCGTTCGTTCTCTCTTGAGCTTAAAGTAAACTTCATCTTTTTAACTTTGAAAAGATTTTAATTTAAGAATTAGTTACCAAGATACTACATGGCATTAAAACTTGAAAACTAGGAAAAGTTCCGAAACTTGCTATCACGATAGTTTGAGGAAAAACCAGATCTTTGTTAATGATCATATTAAAATTTCATTTCGTAAAAGCTTATTGCCCTCGAAATTTGTTGCAAACAGTATGACTGTATCAATCTAAAAGTAGCATACTTTTAAATATTGAGATACAAGAAACAAATATATATGCCTTTTTAGTGCTGTTTTATTAAGTAGTATCTATCCCGCATAAAGCTGTAACGTGGAGGTACATAAAGTTGTAATGTAAAGATGGAAAAGTGGCGGGATATCTGTGCCGTTATCTAGTGCTTCTATCCAGTATGGTTTTGCACGTTACGTGCATTACGGGCGATTCGATACGCTGCCGTCCTGAATCTTTAAAGCGCTACGTGTCGATTCGTGTCAAGTGGCTTATAAATGGAAAGCAACGTACTACACTCGCACTCGTTCAATGGCGGATTTATCGATAGGCGGTCGCTTAGGACCTTTAAATCTCGAGGGATTCCCACAAATTATTCTGCGGATATACAATTTCTCTATAAGATAAAGGAAGCGTCACACTAACATTTTTGGCGGGGAGAAATGTTGATTTAAAAGAATTTATTACAAACTTTACCAATATTTATTAATAATTGTTTTTAATAAATTTCAATTTTAACAGAAACGATATAAAATATTATCACACGAAGATATTATGAATTTCTCGATTATTAAAAATATCATAAACGAAGTGTAATTCGGCGACGTTTTTCACAAAATATTGTAATTATTGCGACATTAAAATTAAAGACATTGTAATGTAACATGAAATATCATCGTTTTAATTATTTTCCTTTTTCAATTAACGAATTAATTGTGTTATGATATAAATTCTGCAGTATTATATCGCGCACACGCGTAGAACAGCAGATAATATTCATTTGCTTTGAGTAAATATCGCGTTATCGCCGGTGCGTCAGTCACCAATCGCTAATTACGAAGAGCGTACCTTTAATTATAGGATTAAATTAACGAGGTTAAATAAATGGCAAATTCCTAGAAATGGCGAAAAATAACGGGACCAATGACGGGACAACATTTTCTAATTCTTACCTTGCAGAATTTTTTCAATATTTTAATGCGAATACTATAATCTTCAATTAAAACAAACTCTAGATGAGATACAAATTTATCAATAAAAGTTTTAATTTATATTTTCTTATAACGGTATATCTCAAATATTTCAAAATGGAAGAGGTTTGCCTTTTTTACTTCTGCTCTCAAAAAATTTTTTCGAGAATAGTATCCCTCACATATTTTTGTAGAGGTTTGTTGTAGCCTCTATGACAAGTATTTTTGGGGAATGCTGCCCTAGCGAAACAATATACGATTTTGCCAAAGCGACGCTGTTTCTTTTTCAAAGCTGCCGTTGTCGCCGTGCCGCGTGCTCTGTGAGTGAGTGTGCGACGGGGGAATAAACGAGAAACATTTCCCGACAAGGTTGGTTTTTGCGTTAACGTAAATCGCGTAGAAGCGAAACTTAGTCGAGCGTGCGGTTTTGCTGGCTGGTCCATGCCACTGCGAGGATGCTGGCGTGCGTCTATCCGCGAGAAAACTTCGAGGTGAAAACCGTGGCGGTAAAGCTCCATCACGGAAAATCCAAGAGGAAGTCCAAGTCCGTCCCGGTGAAGGAAAAACTTCCTACGGACGCCTCAGAGACGGAATGCAACAACGGCGAGCGTGTAAGCAGCGAGGTAAGGTTCTAACTCGGTGCACTTCGCCGTCTCGCTTTTCGCTCTGCCGACGCGCGAAGAGAGACTCGCATATGTATGAATAAGTACTTGGGAGCTCGAGATAACAAGGTTGTTTGACTATTCTGATTGTGTATTATTGAAACGTGCGTAGAGCCGTGATTAGAAACGCGCATCAAGAATCATGAATTTTCCAGTGTTATGTTTATAGACGTTCTTCGGGAAAATTATAAACGCTCTGTTGCCAGTCGAGTTGAAAAAGTGACGCTGCGCGACGGAGTCGATCGAAAAACTCATTTACATGTTATATAACATTATTTAAAACATATGCATCAATTTCGCGCGTTGTTAAAGCTTTATCGTTTAAAAGTTTTTTAGTTATTCCGGTCTTAATTAAAACGCACGCATGCCTGAAATATTCTAGCTTTTATAGGGATGATCGGATAAATATTGCGGAAAATCGCCCCGCTCTCTGACTCCTCCGTATTTACATTTTTATCAGCGAGACGATATACCCACTCGCTTAAGCGAGTGCAATCTCCATAATTGCAGGCTTGCCCTTTCTCCGCTTAAGTCCAGCCATTGTACTTTCTACACTGTTACGTGTTCTTACTTTCCTTTGTAAAGCGTTATAAGCGTATACTTATTTCCTTTTAATCTGGAAGTAAGAAAAAGATGCAGTACAGGAGAGAGCAGGAGGCCTCTCGTTAGTTTCATTTGTTACTTTATTCATAGTCCCATTAATCTTCTCACTCTTTCCCTCTCCTGCCGTAGTGTATTGCAGACTGTCAATTTTTACATTATTTAAGAGCTATATAGAATATCTCGAGTAGTCGCGAAATTTCCTCGAACATTTCCTTCTCAACTCCGAACTTATACAAAGGGACTGCAAAATTATATTAAAACCAGTAATCGCGATTGAAGAAGCTTCAAGAGTCAGAAATACGAATTAATTATATATAATTCTGTTTTTCACTCTTTGTCTTTTCGTCTTTCACGAAAGATGCAATGGCGAGTATTACGCTTTCATTAATTTCACGAACGGATGCGCCCGAAAAAAAGAGGAGACCTCAACTCGAGGCGGCCGGCGGCAGCGCCATGGTGAAGCGAACAAACTGCCGATTACGGCTTCTTCCGCGCTACCTGTTTTCAGGCTCCTCGAAATTAATTTTGCAGGGGGATAGTCCGGGGCGGGATCATCCCCCGGGGATTATCCGCTCCTACAAGAATCCGCTTCTATGAGAAATTTCTTTTTCGTTTACGTCGTTCCCCTCGAGGGAACATCTTTTCGCAACTTTCCCGCCCATTCACGCACGGAAACGAATTCTGCTGGTTATCGGCCGGAGAGATTACCTTTTTCCCTCTTCTTATATTTCTTTCTGAGAAGCTGGTCAGATCAATTGCGGACTCTCGGTCGGCGTGAAAGGATTGCAACCGCCCGGTACAATCCTTGCGGTGCGCGCAATTATCTTTTGTCGAAAGTATCCTCGAAGATAAATGGATAAAGGGAATGCGAAGAATGTGAAGAATGTACTTCGTATAAAAATTAAATAGATATCCTCGAGGAGAGTAGCGTTTTTTATGACTTTTACTTCCGATAATCATACTTTTTCATATCAAACGATAAGAAAATAATACTCCGTAAATCGTTTGACGTGTAAAGAGCGCAAATTGATAAATACGTTTGTTTGGAAAAAAAATACTACTGGAACACGCGCGAGGCGTGAAACGTGACGGGTGTAACCCAGAAAACTTCCCGAGCGCTCGTTTTTACGGGTTAAAGTGGCATAATGTATGTATCTCGTAGACTGCCGTATGTATCATAACGGAATGGCGGGATAATGAAATTGAATGGGATCGGAGGCGAGTTCGTTCGTTCGTTCTGCCGGCGGAGCTGTCGGGAAATGGCTTGCTTTTCATTTCTCTTGGCGATCGCCGCGATACGTCCAACGCAGCTCCGCCGCCGCGCCGCGCGCCGTTTCGTTTGCCATTCTCGACCGTGCGCGCTCGCGCAGAGCCGGGCTCGAAACAATTAACTGTCACGCGAGTGAGCGCACGCGGAATGAAAAGAGGCCAGATGCTGGAACGACGGGAGGGAAGGCGGGCGGGCTGGCCTCCTCCCCGCAGCCGCCGAAGGCGTCCGTATTATATTATCTTCCCCCGTTTCAACGGCGCGTTCGTTATTGTTCCGAGCAACGCGATACTTTCGCTGTAACTGCCGCTTCGAGACCGCTTGATTCGCGTCGGGAGACATGGTCGGCGCGCGGGATTGTGTCACGGCGAAGATTAACTTTAACAATAACATATTGTCCGGAGGTATCGATATACGAGAGAGGCTGTACTCGCGCCAGACATATACACCTTGCCCAACTTCCCTCTGACGGACATTCTGATCCTCGTTATCCATTACTTGATTTTGAATTATACACGAGGCTTCCGAACTTCGGAATTCGCGGGGTAACTTTGGATTGCCCTCGTAAGACGAGAGGAAGCGAAAGACTCGCGGTCTTTCATCATTTCTCTTTTATTATCTTGAGATATTAAAAGTACCACTTTTTTATTCCGTGTTTCATTTAAACCGTACTTTATATACGTTTTTTATGCGAACAAGAATATAAAGTGTTACTTATTCGATTTGTGAATATGAAAAGAGACACGTATAATTTATCTGTTAACAATAAGAGCTACGGGCGGCAGAAAGCGGATTTTCCTATTGCGGTCGTCCGCGAATATATTGGAAAGCGGAAGCCATAAGTTTGGCTTTTATATTTTTGCGACTCGCGGGGATGTAAAAACGCAATAAGAAACACAGCGAAAGGGTAAATGTACAAGCAACGCAAGCGCATTTCCGCGAGAATGCATTTTATTTCGAACACGAGGCGAAACGAAATCAAGAAACGAGAGAAAACCCCGGCTCTCTTTACGATCGGTGGTTCTCCGCGGGGACAGCCGGTCGGGAAACCGATATTTTCATCGCGCTTGCTCACCGCCGCGCCGGTGCGCATTTATTTCGCACCCGTCCCGCCGGCCGCGCCGTCCGTCGTCGGGCGCACTTTCATTGACGTACGAAGGTTACACGAAGTCCTTGTCACGGTGGAATTCGAAGGGCCGCACGCCGACCTTGGGATTCTACCTGGTATCGGGCGCGGCGCGCCGCGGCCGGTCCTTTCCAGATGGTGTAGTACGGGAGATGAAACAAAAAGAGGCGCACGAACGCGCGCGCGCACACACACAGCCGCACGGATCGGTCCAGCGCGTTCTCTCGACTCGAAACACACAGTGGGACTCACGCGCCGTCTCGTCCTCACCTCCGATATTACAAAAAAGAATTTAGAGGGTAAACTAAGGATGTAAACTAAGAGTGAATGATCCTTAATCAACGTGGACAAACATCGGTCGCTTATAGTCGCAGGAAGTCTATAAGTTTAATGCAAATGACTTGATAATTTCGGTTTGTCGCATACGTCAAACCGAAGGACCGACGTTCTACGTTTGCTTTGATACTCGTGGACAGTAATTAAGTCAGTCTCGGTGAAGGATGGATAGAATGAAGTACGCCAGTCGCTTGGTCCGCAGATCTTCCGGTTTAAATTCCTTAAATTTCTTTCCCTTCCTCGTGGAAATACGTCAGGACGTATTCTTATACAAAGGAAAACTTCCGAGATAAAAAAATCTCGAGTTTAAATTTCTTTACTTCTAAGTATATTCTACTTATCAAGAGAAATTACAAAGTACTTCATAAATTATACACGCCCATTACATGTCCAACCCGACATATAAAAATTTTTACATTTAGTTTTTACATTTTTTTTTATTTCTTTGATAAGGCAGTGGTACATCTTGATGTAAGAAAAAAAGTCTTAAATTAGTCTTATAAATTTCAGACTTTGAGACAAAAATTTCTCGATGTATTTAAAAGAAAATATCTCCGGAGAATTCACCTGAGCAAATAACGACACAATTCTTTTACATGCCGCGCTCTCCTGCACGGAAGCGTTCACGGAAGGTCAAGAAACAACAACAAGGCCGTTGATCGAAAGCCGATATTCGAGATGTAATTAATCGCCGATTCGGCGCCTTCGGTCGCCCGTTCGCGTACCCGCTCGCGCGTTCCTCCGTCGTCGTTTTACCTTGGCGCACACACATTCGTATATGCTCACGTGCATTTAATCTCGCTGTTTCAGTTAGCAGTGGGCGGGGGTGGTGCTGTGCTGGTGCTCAGCGAGCTTGAAAGCATGGCGGCCAGGCAACAGCGGGAAATCGCTCAGCAAAGGCGCCTCCTGGAGCAGAAAGAGGCCCGCTTAGCCGTGCTTCGAGGCGCACAGGTGAGTCTAATTCTCTCCCATCGCCTTCGTGCGCCGCGATAAAGCGCTATTTGAAATCATACTTCGTAGTTTTGATCGTACAGTTTATGAGAGTTGCCTGACTTGTAAGAATATCAATTCCAAGTCGAGGAATAACGCGAAGTTCAATGACTCTTCGTTCTATGAATTATCATTATGCACGTAATGCAACGTCAACCCTTAATGATCTCGAGCATTCGTCACGCGTTCTCTCTCCCTCGGAAGATCACGGCGAGGGAGATCGATAGTACGCTTGTGCAGTTACCGTTACAATGACCTTCACGACTGAGCAGCCTTGATCCCGAAGAGAGCGGTCTCGAGGAGGGAATGGGTCCCCCCAATGGACCTATTCTCCGGGATCGCGTAATCTTGTTTCGCGATTCCATCAAAGTTGATAATAGCGAATTAAACTCGAAAATAAGAAACTACGAAGAAGCGTTTCTTTTTTGCTCGTTTTTCTCGAGCTCTCGATTCATCTCCCGAAAGTATATCGACGCGAGAATCCGGCTGCAGAAAATCAATAGGTATAACATCGTTGGAATTCAGGCTCTTGATGATGGACAATTTTGCAAAACGCGGATACGCGTTCGCGATAAATGTTACTAAGGTCTTATTTCTCTCCCATTTTAATCCACGCTGCCGTTCACTGCTGCGTGTTAACTGTATATTTATTGTCTATATAGCGATCGCGTTCACGCACTGTTTACCGTTCCAGGAGCCAGCACAGCAGGACAGACTCGCCAGATTGAGGCACAAGCTGGACCAGCAACAGAGCAAGCTGAATCGACTGCGATTACTCAGATCGCAGACGGACCAGTCGCGTGTCAACAATGCGACATTGAGTAAGTCCATTAACATTTCTCTCTCTCTCTCTCTTGTATTCCCCGACCCTTCGACATCGGAGCTGCACGATAATCCCACAGATAAGACCAGGAATTTACCCTTTCTAAGCTAAGTAAGCAATTTTGACGTCGATTTATTCAAACGTACTCTTCTTTTATCTGCGGTATATTGTTCTCTTTGATGTAGAGAAAATAAATTCCGAATCGTTGCACAACAAAAAAAATCATACGTGATGGTTATCGAAGAGTTTACTTGAAAAGTGGCATGTACGGTAATTTTATTCGATGCTTTTCAGCGATAATCTGTATTATGACGTATATATTTAATTAACAGTTAACGATGAAAATTATGAGGGGAAAACCCGAAGCTCTTTATTAATTTGGAATTAATTTGCATGTTCCCTTTTTTATGCGTAAAATGGAAAACCACTTTTTCTAGATAGCTAACAATTTTTTCCGGCATATTAAGAGAGGGGGGGGGGAGGGAGGGGGAGATGGACACGCGGGTTAACGCGACAGACACAAATTTTAATGGAACACAAAAAATTCGTCCCTCTCGACGTTCGTTTTTGTCAAATTGAAATTTTTCAAACGTTCGTCTTTCAAACCTTTCGAATTTGTACCCCCGCGCACCTGTCCACCTTTGTAGAGCGGATTGATGTATCGATGCCATCACTATACCCTACGCTCTGATTCGATTCGTAAAAGCTACGCGTGGCTCGGCACGGCTCGGCGTGTGCATGCCTTGTTAATTGAGCATTGTTCAGATCGTTACGTCTATACGGCGTAATGGAAAACGATAGCTGCGGTTTGCAATGCGACACGTCGCGCCGCGATAATAACTCCGAACGAAAGGGCGAAATACGCTGCGCCCGCTTCGTTACGGATATTCTCTAACGAATCGACGCGGCAGAGAAACGTCGGTTATGCGTCGGCGGCACCTGCGACGGGTGAAAAAAAAGAGATTGTAATGATCCAGGGATCTCTGTCGCGCTTTGTCGTTTAATAAACGATTGCGCGCCGTGGGTGTGTGCTTCTCGCGGACAATGGAGAAAATGCTCCGTCAAAAGCGTTCTCTATAAAAATAATTGCCCTCAAATATTCCGGACGTTTGACATTTAAAATAGCTGCACAATTGACGTAATTTCTGTGAAATGAAAGATCCAAAAATATCTTTATTTTATTTAATTTCATGAGCGCGCGGACAAACGTTTCACGTGTATTCTCTTTGCGATGTTTGATCATGAATATGTTATTAATAATAATAATAATTTTGTTTTTATATTTTTGCCATTTATTTTGTTCGGTATTGACTTAGAAGTGCAATTTTATTTTGTATTTTATCGCGCATCGTTTTCATTTAAAAGCATCGTAACAAAAACCAACCATCAGTATTTCTAATTAAATTTTTAATTTAAAAAGATCAATACAATTTGTTCAAATCTATACATGTGAGAGAGAGAAAGAGAGAAAAGAAACAGAGCAACAGTTTTTTTTTACAATTTTATAAAAACAACGGAAAAAGTGAAACAACTGTAAAAGTCTATACATTATTTTTGACCCTCGAGTCTTCCTCTGGAATAGTATATACTTTGGACTTCTGGCAAGAATTCGCAAAACTTTTCGCGCAAGATTTATCGCGCTCTTATGTCGCGAGGCGATATCTTCGCCCTTCGCCCCTTTCAATTTCTAATCACGACGGCCCGGCCGTCTTATATTGTCTTTTGCAAGGTCTTGAAAGTTTCAGTAGCCAAACTTGTTGCAATTTGCTGCAAGCTCAAATGATCTGGCAAGAAATCTCTTCCGGAAGGCAGGAAACTCCTCCGCCAGCGTACATCTCTTCCCGTATTTCCCGGCAGACTCATACGCAACGAACTAATTTATTATGCAATACACGGGGTTAACCGTATTCGGGGATTTTTCAACGCTCGCGAAATTCATACAAATCTCGTAATACTTGTGTGTAACAAAATAATAATTTTGATATGCAAGAAATCCTGAAAGAAAAGAATTATTGTGTAAAGGAATTTGTAATATTACGTGTCTTGGGCACAATTTACATCCGCGAAACATTGTCATGCAATGCTAAAGTAATGAATACATTTAAATAAATTGCAGCATTGTGCAATATTTCATTTTCTCTCCGTTCACACACATGTAGAGAGAAATGTAGAATATAAGTTAAATTATTGGAATCGAATATATTTCTTAATTCGCTGCGAGATCGCCTGATGGTTCACGCAAGAACGATCATTTCTTTTCAAAATGCGAAATACTTCAACGAAATGTTAAATTGCCGTTAATGGACGTGTGCGCGAAGATATAAACGCCAAGTTCCGTCGTTTGAGCTCCATGCCAATCCATTTTCGTAGATCACCGATATCCCTCGTCGACGGGAATCCATCTCGTTTCGGTAAACGTGATAAGGGAGATTTATCCTGTCTTCACATTGGGGAGCGCGATTAATCTTCGGTGCGGCACGGCTGGCGACATCGACGTTCGAGCATATTTCGAGCCCATGGTAGTCTTTGCCGGTTTATAAATGAAATCCAAATACAAACCAATGGTTCGAAAACCGGTCCGCGTGTGCCTCGCCGTTTCACGGCCGAGAATCATCCCCGGAAAATAAATTGGAAAGATTCGACCCGGGGCCGACCGCGCGTTTCGTTTCCGCGCTACGGTTTTATGGAATGCAATCGTGCGGAACTCGTCCGCGGTCGCACACCGGCCGGTAAATCATTCTCGGACAAGCGCCGAAATATTCGAAACGTCGAAAGCGAGGAAATTGCACGGGCAGGCGGGAAGGAGGGAGGGAAGGAGGGGGAACAGGAAGGTACTCCTTAATTCTTTAACGTGATTCGCCTATATAGAGGCCGCGTAAAATCGATCGCGGCCCTCCCATTGCGTTCTATTTGCCATCAAAATTGAATGAACCGAGAAAGCGAGCTATACACAAGTACTTATATACAGAAAAATAAATATCAATACATAGAAAAAAATAAACCGTTCGCGATTTCGCGACGGCGGGGGAAGGGGGAAAAAAGCGGAAAAACGGCTGCTTGAACGAGCAGATTTCTCGGACGGATCGTTCCTCGCTTGAACAAATATCAATTTCGCTGAGCAAATTACATGTTGACGCGATGCGATCAATTATATATCGCAATAATAACAATCGCGATCGTAACAGTTGAATCCAGCCAGTAATCTGTTGCGTTTAATTGCGCCTGCGAGTTCGTTTGAAACGCAAACCGTTCGACAGGATCCGATCGTTTTAAACGGGCTCTTTTTTTTTCCCCCCTCCCCTTCTCGCCATCGGTTGCGGAATTCGTGCACCGATCGAAACGAGCGCGACGCTCCCCTTTTACCTTTTGTATGTGCACATACGTTGCACGATATTGACACGCAACACGTGTGACCACACCCAGCGGAACACGCTACGCGCTTATGTAGGCTTGCCATAATTTTCATGACCCAATCCCGGACGCGCGAAGGAAAGGGCCGGATTTTTTTTTTCCATGTCAAACAATACTCGGTACACAGGTTATCGCGTAACAGCCACGTCGTTTTGTTTTATCAAATGAATCAATTAAAGGGCATTGCATCATCGCCGATTATAGGAAAAGAAATGCTGTCGCGAAATTACCGTCCGTTTAGTGTAAACCGTAACACGAGAATTCTGATGTTGATTGCTTTCCTGATTTAAATGGAGTTACACACTCGCGGGTTATTATATTTTTAGTGAAGTCTCATAAAAGCTAGTGAATGAAAAGAATGAAAAGCACAAATAAGTGCGGCTACATTCTCGCGTAAATGCGCGTTTCTGCGTGTTAAAAATAGAGATGTGGAAATAGAAATAAAGTGAATAAAGAGTACCGGACACTTTACACGGGGCAGTTTTTTTTCTTCTTGCAATAGTCTCTCCAACGGAAGAGGAATTAAGACCGAACAATTCCAGTCATGAAATTAATAAAAAATATTTGAATATAACGTTGGCACATTTGAATAAAGAAAATTGCATATGTGTTGGACGTTTTAAATCGTAGGTAAAACGCCTGACAGCTATTGGAATCCCGTGGGTTGCTCCGGGACAGTTTCGTACGGCGGCGAGCCCGCCCGTATGCATTTTCATAGCGCATTTTCTCGCCGTTTGACGTTGCGTTGTGTATGCACGATGTTGGTAAATTCGATCAGTTTTGCACACCTCGCGGACCTCGAGTATCGTAAACTCTGCTGCCGTCATTCCGAAATCGATTGGAATCTTAAGGCGAAAAATGAAGCGTGACAAAAGAGATTCCAACCCTCCTCTATTAGTCGCTTCCTGAAACGAAGTTATTAATTTTTTTTTTAAACGAAGCTCGAAGCCAATAACTCGTCCGTAAAATTGTAAAATTGAATGGAAGATTTAACGACGTGCATTAAAGTCTCGATTTTACGCGCTCCCTTCTATCGAGATCTGATGTTTCGCGTTACGGTTCTCAAGAGTGGCGGTGTTTCGCCTCTCTTGACGTGGCGGAATAACATTTTCATATGATTCGCCCGTGTTCGGGCGGTTGACGTGAAGAAATTAAATATTATCGCGCGGAGCGCGCGCGAGTGTGTCGGGGACGTGAAATTCCGCAGCGACGACGACGGCGCGACATGTCATTTGCCGTGCATTTAAGCGACGCAACGTGGCGACGTGGATGAATCTATTGTTTAGCGTCGCGCGCGCGTCGCGTCGCGCTTTATATATCCTATACATATTCGCGCGTGCAAAACGCGCGGACGGCCGCGTTCGATTGCACGTGGCGGGACGTCGCGATCGATGTGGAAAACGCGCGATATAGACCACGCTCTCCAACCGGGAAAGGTCGATACTTTGACAGGCGATTGTATAAAAGCACGGCTACACAAAGAAAGGGATTCCTGTAAACACGCACCGTGAACGAGTTGTAGAATATATCGAGTTTGAAAAATTGATTTTTCATCGTGTTTCGGACGCATCGCTATTTCATTGTTATTCAAGATGCTGAAACATTAAACGTCAGGCAGTTACTCGCCTCGCTTTCCCTTTACCATTCTTTATCCTTTATAATTGCTTTATTATCAGTCGCAACGCTCGTGCCTTTGTCGTATGTCGATAGTAGCGTAACTCTTCGGTATTCGCATGTATTCTTGTGCATTCATACATGTATACATATGCATTGTAAATTGTAAGCCAGAAGCAAGTCTGCTCGATGGATTTTAATTGGTTATGTTTTTGAAAATAATGGAAATGTCTATCTTTTTTTTTTTTAAAAATAGGAGATAAAAAGTTTTTTTGACAGTCAACATTTCGAGTAACGTTGCCATTTTTTGTTTTTGTCATAATAAAACTAAATAAAACTAGATATTTATTTGCTACAGGATAAAGAAGTATATTTATATCGCAGATAAGATAAAGAATGAAGATAGAGTATGTAATATTCACTTAATTACGTAATTATACACCTAATGAAACTTTAATGAGAATAAAAAACGTAAATGCAATGACGTTTGAAAAATGTATTATATGCAGTAAAAAAAAGATACGATGACTCTTAAGTCTTAGCTGACTTTTCTGAAGAATTTTTTTTTTAGAAGAAGTCGATTTAGTCATAGGATATTAAAATTAAGATTGCGTAGCATTCTGTGGTAAGAAAAGAACGTAGAGGTGGCGTAGAATTGTTGAAGATGGGCGAGGCTCGTTTCCGGAATAAGAAAGAATCTGAAGGAGCATTTGGTGGCTGTGAAATTGCCTTTGAATAGACTGACGACAGTACGTGACGTTCGCGAGAAAATGAGTTGGAGGGAACGTCTCTCAACAAGTTTGAGAACGTTCGAATTTTTGCGCTCCTTCGATACTTTTACGAATATATTCGCCCCGCGGGCTTTATGTGTATGTATCCCAAGTGGCGAATGGGCGGGCGGCATGCATAATGAGAGGCATTTGATTTCGTTGGCAAGACTAGCAACGATTGGCTTTCATGCGAGAGCTCTATCGCATCTCTCCTCGCGGTCCTCTCTCGTTCCCATGCGTGTTAAAGCTAACATTAGTTTAACCACTTCCTCTTTAGGGCGTTAGAAAAGTTGAACGCTTTTTTTTCGTTAGACTGAAAACTGCAGTAACGATTAAACGTCTGGCTCTCTTTAGCGCTCGTTTCTCAGTTTCTAACAATAAAAGAGCGAATTAAACTATTAAATTATTTCTTTCGTGGAGATACACGTATTTATATAATTGCCTTTTTGCGTTATATGAAATATAACATCCGAATACATTTGAACAGACCGAAGACGTGATTAGCCGATTCTCCGTCTTTTTCTAAAAATAAAAGTGGAGAAGACAATAAACCTCAATCAACTCTAATTGATGAGACTTTTAAGGCACGTTTCGTCGTTTAATTTAGCGTCAATATCGCCAATATCCATTAAGCTTAACCGTGGTTCAGTTGTTTTGCTAGTTCTTTTTGGATTCCGGCCGACAAAAGGAGATAAAGAGACAATTGAACTACTGTTGAAGTTAATTGGTGTTGGTAAAATTGATTCTAAATTAAATTCAACTCTACGATAAAAATTAAATTACGCGGAAGGAATCAACTTCCGATCGTGCACCCGCGCAAAATATTCACAAATTCGCCCACCGGTCGCCCGCACTTGAACTTTTTTGCGCAACCGCATCTCTGTGCAATCGATGGCTGCGTTATCTCTTTTTAGCATAACTCTTGCTACATTTGTATAATATCCAATGAAAAATTTAATATGAATTGAGAAATTACTCTTATATTGTATAAAATTTAACAAATTCCATGCTAAACGTACTAAGACCTCTTTCTCTTCTACGTTTCTCTTTCTCTCTCTCTCTCTTCTCTCTTTATTGCTTTAATCGTCCATTCGATCAGCAAACTCATTGCCATATAAGTGAACACGTGTCAATCGATCTATGCCAATTGGTAAAAATGCCGATTGGCATGCCGATGGCTTAACGGACTGCGGTCGACAAACAACACAAAAGGAAGCCGAGCCAAATCATCTATTCGGTATGCAGAAGGCGATCTACTCTGCGCAACTTGAAATCTCAGACACTGTCAGAGAATTGTAAAAGTTAACTGTGAAATTTCATTGATTTCACCGTTTTGTGAAGCAGTTAGCAGAAACAATGCATTAGGAAATGATTCGTACTGCTCACTGCTTCTGAATAGTACAATAATTCTAAGGAAATAAACGAAATTAAAGAGAGGAGTTTAACAAAAGACACGAATTTTTCTCTTTTAAATATTTCTTCTTTTTATTAATTACTCGCTTCACCGAAATATCTCATTCTATCGATTATATACTTGGGAATTATGTCAACGTACAATGAATAATTTCTCAGATAATTATATTCTCGAAGAATTAATTGCGATATGGTGTGTTTGAATTAGTACGAGTATCTTTATCATTCAGATAGCAAGCAAGTCTTTATTGAGTTTCGCTGAGCCGAATGTATCGGAAACGTCCATTAACCGATTTCGTATAAATTAGAATCGCATTGACAATTTCGACAACGGCTATGGGATTACCCGGGAAGTAATGAAAGACCATAAAGGATGCCGTTTCTGGGCAGATAGATAGTACTCAGGGAGTCGACCGGGGTACCAATCCCAGAATTCGATAATGGAATTCCAGGTCACAGCAGATCGCTCTGTACGGCCAATACGGAGTTCCGTGTAGCAATATGTGGTTGGTTTAGTGGTCCATCGCGCACGTATAATAACTTTCTAATCTGATACGAAGTACGAGACGCCCGTTGCGCTGCTCGGCGCTTAAGATGAGATACCGGCCGTCGGAATCCACGAAAGTGTATCGCTCTTGGATAAGTCACCCGGGCGATGATTAATGCGCCAGTTAATACGACGTCATCCCCCCGGCGCGTGTTTTCGTAGCCCGTCCGTTGGTGTTTGGGCGCAGGGTGTATATCCCCGGAGGTCCCAATTTATTATATCGAATGTCAAAGGCCACGTAAACGGGGTATCTGCTTTTCCTGCATCAATACCCGACGTATCTAATATAACGACGTACATCTCGCAGTAATATTACCTAGATTTTTTAAATTTCATATATGTCAGTAATTACATCTTAATGAAGATTGGTTATACGAAATAAATAAAATACAGAAACGAGAGTCAGAGAGTATTTATACGTCACAATATGTATAATTGAACAATAAGCGGTTAATACGACTGATATAATGAATAATATTTTTCTAAATTGCTTGAAATGATGGAAAAATAACAATCCTCACAAACTCAATAAAAATAATTCGCCATATAGATTATTTTTAAACTCTATCGCATCGAAAATCGATAAGGATCTTTTCTTATTATAGGTTTCATAAAATGTGTTCTCCATTTGTATTGTTCTTTTTTGTCCTCATTACGTTGTTATTTTCCACTCTTATTATCCTTATTATTCTCATTGTTCTTGCTTTATTCTCATTATTCCTCTTCCGTTCGTTCGTCCGCAGCCTCCGATCTGGACTGCATCAGGGCCCTGTTCAATGAGAAGGAGAAGGAACTCTCGTTGGCCGTGGCGAAGGTCGAGGAGCTGACGCGGCAGCTGGAGGAGCTCCGAGGTCGTCAGAATGCCCCCGCCGGTGGTGGAAGCGCCGGCAGCATCGGGGGCGGCCTCACGGGTGCCACCGGCAATGGACATTTGGTCACCCCGGCCAGCGCCGAACTGGAGAAACTCAGGAGGGAGCTTATGGTAAGCTCGCGCCATCGATTACGGTCTCGTGAGAGCCGGCCTTGTCTCGCGAAAGCGCTCGCATGGGAACATCAGCATATTTGTCTCATTTTCAACCTACGCTAATTGGCTATAAGTACACACAATTATGACATATTTATAGGACGACCTAGAATTTGCGAAAAGCGGCTATATAATACTGCGGTTATACTGTTACTCCGAATTATGAAATTTAATTCTAATTTTGTTCTGAATTTTTTATCAGATGCCCATCAGATATATACGCACTGATAATTTTTATAATTTATTTCGAAATGGTCTCTTTCAGAGCAAAAATATCTATGCTCTAATAATATCAAATATGTAGAGTGTTATTTGTCGTTTAATTATTTAATTTTGAGGTTTACTAAATTATTTTATTTTAGGCTTAACAAAATCAAAAATACAGAATGTTAATATTTAAAAAGTTTTGCTATTGAAAGGAACTATTGATTGATTTTATAAAGGTGTTATTTTATTTTTCTGCTTCACATTTATTAAACATTTAGGTAAAATATGTAATTTATTAATGTCTTCACTTTCTGTGTATGATATTAATTTTATTTTTTGACATGATAGAAACTGTTTTCTTTTTTTTATAAAAAATAGATGTGAAGAAACTAAAAGAGAAAAATACTATAGACAATTATCTCAGTTTTCTAAAAAAATATACATATAATTTTTTTTATTATAATACTAACTATTAATAATATTATACTGGCATGTACTTACGAGTACAGGTTGATGATAATGAATTAATCAGAACGACATTTTTATGCACGCATTTCACAAGAGTATTATAAGATATAAGAAATAAGTCACTGAAAAAAAAATGCGAATTTGTGTTTTCCCAATTTGTACGCAGTATCGCAACAAGATGAACGAACAGCAAAACCAAGTGGTATCTCAACAACGGCAGGCCTTGGCGCAAAGGCAGGCCGAGATGGCGTCGATAGACGCGCGAATAGCTCAACTCCAGAGTCGTCTTCAGCGCAAGAGAGCGTTGAATCAACGATTGACGCAAGTGGGTCCTAACGGTGGCGGTGTTAACAACACGGGATTCCCAGATACAAAGCTCGACGGTTTCAACAACAGTGGCAAGCTGAGACCGGCCGGCAACATCGCCGCGATCGAACCGTATTCGCATATACCGAACGACAACGATTTCAATCTGAACAAGAACGACCCCAAGTACCAGACACTGCCATACAACACCAAGTTCACGATGAACTTCAAGGCTATAGAGGACGACGTGAACAAAAATAAAATACAGCACTCGGCGAGCGCCTCCCAGTTGGGACAGCGGCCGACCTTTCAGCAATACGGACACCAAATCGTTCACAGCCAGTCGCAGTCGCACATTCAGGGTGAGTATCTTACTTGCAATTTAAAATTTAAAACATATATTAAGCATCCGCGCAATTCTTATAACGATTAAAATTACTCGAGATATTAGGCATTTTTTTAATCGAAATGAAATTTAATTTGCCATAAGTGCATAAGTTAATAGCCAGTACTATAAATGTAAAATTTTTAAATTATTAATAGACATAAATCTGATTTTAAACGTGAATCTAATTGCCGTCTAAAATATTTAGGGCAATCTCAATTACTAGGAAGCAATCAACAGCAACAGCAGCACAATCAAAATCTCGGCAACCAGCCCACGACGATTCAATCGAGTTGCAATTACAATAACAATAACAACAACAACAATAATAGCAACAATCTCATCTGTAATACTGGGCACAACTTCAGCCCGGACAACCTGTCGCAAGGTCTTCGTCTTCATCAGGGTCATCAGCATCAGCAGCAATCGCAGACGCAACAGCAGCAGCAGCATCAGAATGGCAATCTCCAGCAGAAGCAGCACAACGCCGTCACCGGCGTTGGCGGTGCATCGACGACGCCGAATCTCGTCGGTGTTACCGTTCCGTCGATCGTGCAAACCACGCAGAACCAACATCGAAATCTGCAGCAGACCGTAGGTGGTCATCAGAAGCCGGTGTCGAGCGTGGCGCCAAGCTTTTCAGTCAAATCGCAGATCTATCAGACCTCCTCGACCAAAATCCATCCGGTTATGCCGCAGACGTTGAGCTTGCTGGGTCGCGGACATAACAACGCGGCGCAAAACTACATCGGTAACAATCAGCAGTTAGCGGCAGCAAATACGCAGCTGCAATCCAGCGTCGGAAATCAGGAAGCGAATTACAGACACGGTTACTCCGTCGCCCAACAGCAGCAGCAGCAACAGCAGCAGCAGCACCCAAATCAGACGACGAACATTCACACGTCTTCCCCGGCGGGAGTATATCAGATTCAGAGTTCGTCGAATCTCGTCGGTCTTCATGGCACCGCCACCACCGCGACGACCTTCGGCAATTCTTCCCAGAAGTATAATCAATCGTCACAAGTGTTGAGTTCCAACGATCTCGCGCAAAACCAGGATCAAATACTGAACAATCAAAAAACCAAATTCGAACCGAGCAAGAGTCAGGATAAGTTCGAACATGCATTACCGCCCAGCAGTAAGCATGAGCAACAGCAGCAGCAGATTAGGTATGATCAGAATCTCACGGGCAAGTACGAGATCCAGCAACAGAGCAGCAAGCACGATCCACCTGGAAGTCAGGCCAAACACGATCAGCATTTGCACAACGTTAAGTACGATCCTGGTTGCCAGAATTCGCAACAGTATGTCAAACACGAGCAACAGCAGCAGCAGCACGAGGGAAGATTGTCGAATAAGTACGATCACAATCCACCGTTCAAACACGATCCTTCGAGTGTCAATCAGTACAAATCGGAGTATAAATCCGAGCCGAACAAGTACGAGAGCGGCCAGAACAAATTCGAGATGGTGTCGGCAAAATACGAACCAAATTCCACGGCGAAACACACGGTCGATCATGTGGCCGCCAAGTTCGAAATCCCGGCGAAAACACCGGACAGGCCATTCGAATTCGACAGGCCGGCGACGAAGAGCAGCAGCGACGGCGAGAGGAAGAATTTCAACGAATCGCGAATAGAGGACAAGACGAAACCAGCATTGCCGCCGAAACCGAGCAAACCGAATCCGCCACCAAGACTGACTCATCACGAGAAGATCGATGTGTCATCGTCCGAAGGGATTAACGAATGCAAAATGACTAACGCAAATCTCAATTCGAGGTTCGTATACTTCTGATTTTTAAATACAAATTTTGATGTGTAGAAACAAGAAAGAATTAGATGCGAGGTCGTATAGTGCACTTTAAAAATTATGATCATACATTACATTCTTACACCGAGCTTCTCGATGATTAAAATATAGGTACTGTATGTTTACTTGCAATAACATTTTCTTTATCAGTTATTTGATGCTGCGAATCTTTTTATTATAAAGAGGTTTTTAAAAATAAGAGCTTCAAAAATTTTAATCATATTTGATCTAGATACTTTATATACAAATTAAGTAAGCTACAACTTTAAATATATTAAAAAGAGAGCTTTACACTAAAAAATTAAAATGCTTACATGTGATTTCTTCTCAAATTTTTTATTTCATTATTTTCAAGATTTTTAAATCTTTATTATCTTTATAAAATATACGTGAAATACAAAGGGTCTTCGTTTCACGTTGTAATTTAAGCACTTTACACTCTCTTCACATCCTTTGTAGAGTTACGAGATCAAGGAATTCATCGAACAATTCGCACGAACTCAGACTGCGGAATGACAAAACGATTACTGGGTTAATTATAAATGTTAATTAGTTCGCGATCGATTTGGCCAGTGAATCGAAGCCTGTCTCGAATAATAGACACCGAAATAGAACCGCGGCTCCGTGTGCCGCGGAGACGACATGGGCCCGCGCTCCTCTTAGTGTTAGCGAGTTCTCCGATCAGTACACGCCAGTGATACACACGATTAACGTGTTTGCGTTTGTGCAGGCAACGATTTCGTGCACGATTAGTCGCGAATCGATGTTCAATTACGCGGCTGTTAGTACACCTGACTGTTGGATGGTTAATGTTGATAGACACATCGAGCGACAGCCAGATCAGATACAATCGTGCAATTTCATCGCAGTTTTTATTTGTCCTCTTCGCGACTTGTATATGGCCGATCGACGATTCGACACGTTTATTCAGGGTTCACAAAATATTGGACGCGATTTTGGTGTTGCAAAATATATTCGGTTTCCCTTTCATTGTTGTGGATAGAGAATCGTAAGTCTTGGCCGGGGCGATTTTGTTATTTATATTTTATCTTCTATCGGGTTTTTTTAATGACATAACATCAAATATAAGAACGTTATTTTTTTAAGATTAATATAGACTGGAAGTAAAATTATTTAATTCAATTATAGCTACAATTATCGCTCTCAATTCATCAATTTATATATAGTAATAAGACAATAATGATCCAATATAATTGTTGATTTTCTAATTTCCAAATACGATTTGTGAATTTTGCAGGTCGGATAAGGACGAGGATATACCGCCGATTCCTACGTCGGAACCGCCTGAATCTCCCACGGAGACACAACTGGGAAATCATCAGATCATCAAAGCTCGGCCGTTGACGCTGAAGAAAGTACCGATATCGGAGCAACCGAAGCTGAGATACGCCAAATCCAATGTTCACGTGTCGATAAATCGACGAATTGAGATGCCCCCGGCTTTCCTGTTCCCGGAGACAGAAATCCCGGCGGATCTCATGCAGACCGACCAACAGCAGCAGCAGCAGCAGCAACATCAGCAGCAAATCATCGATACTACGGACAGCTGCAAGAACATTATCGGCGACGATATCGGCGACGGCGAGAGGCTGGAGGAGGCGGACATCATCGACGCTTTGAATGTCATTAACATAGAGGACAAGCCGACGAAGATGAAGACCGATTCGGAATTGACTGGGGGCGAAATGGAGATAGACGGAGGCAAAATATCGGAGGTAATGAGGAGGAAAAAAGGAAATCTCAAGTCGTCGAGCACAGGAGGCGGAAGTGGCAAGGTCAATCTGTCTAGGCGGGTGTCGTTCGACCCGCTGGCGCTGCTACTCGACGCTAGTCTCGAGGGAGAACTCGAGCTCGTAAAGAAAACCGCGAAAGAGGTCGCCAATCCGAGCTCTGCCAATGACGAAGGCATTACCGCCCTGCACAACGCCATATGCGCCGGTCATCTCGAGATTGTCAAATTTCTCGTAGAATTCGGCTGCGATGTCAACGCGCAGGACAGCGATGGATGGTAAATTAAACATAGTAGATTGTTTTTGATAGATGCATCTGAAAAAGAATTTGCTAAACAAAAATGGAACAAACAAAATCTATTTTTTACTTTATTTAGAGTAGCTTCACTTAATTTTTCATAATATTTATATATATATAATTATAAAAATATATGTACAATATTGAAGAAAAATTTCAATGAAAGATGATCTTTGATAAACTCTTAAGAAAAATCTGATCACGATTTAGTCACAAAGAATTCGTTATTGAAATTATAAAAAGAAGGAAAATTTAGTAATATAAAAGCCTATTACATGTATTCGTTCTAATCAAATTATTAATTTATATACGAAATATCTCAAACCTAGGCATCTAAATCTAATATTTCTTCACGCAGGACGCCGTTACACTGCGCCGCCAGTTGCAACAATTTGTCTATGGTGAGATTCTTGGTCGAGCATGGTGCTTGCATTTTCGCAACCACTCTTTCAGATCACGAGACCGCCGCGGAAAAGTGCGAGGAGGACGAGGAAGGCTTCGACGGATGTTCGGAGTACTTGTACAGTCAGTATCGTTGGAGCGAAATTTAAAATCGATTATAATAACAAGGGATGCATTTGTGAAAAAGAATTCCATTCTACTTCTTTTGACATACAGGCGTCCAAGAAAAGTTGGGGATTATGAATAACGGCCAGGTATACGCGGTTTTCGATTACGAGGCGCAACACGCTGACGAACTCTCGTTGAAGAACGGCGACTCCGTAGTCGTGCTTCGAAAGGGGGATGATAACGAACGGGAATGGTGGTGGAGTAAACTCGGACATAAAGAAGGCTACGTACCTCGGAATTTATTGGGGGTAAGTGTTTTGTTAATTGATTATACTTTACATACGGATATCCAGAAAAAGAGATTGCTAAAATATTTTTTAAAAATCTTATGTAAGAAAAATTCTAATTTTTTACCAATTAACAAAAATATAAAATTTTAAATATTAAAAGTTAGATTTTATAAATTGAATAATGCAATTTAATAAATATGGAGAGAGCAGTTTTAACACAAGTTTAAAATGTATAAAAATATATTAGGGAAATTTATTATAATAATGCAAAATGTGCACAATAATGTTATAATTACAAATTATCACAAATGAATAATTATATATGTAATTACGTACGTAATGTACGTAATTACATTTGTTTTAATAATGTAATATTAATACAAATGCTGTATAGCGTTTTTTTTTGCGTATTTTAAATTATTTTAAAACTCTAACAATGTGTGAGACATAGGAATGTGCATTATGTTTCAGTTATATCCCAGAGTGCAGCCAGCGAAAGCGGTTGATTAAAATGCTCGCAGAATATCCGATGATTACCACAGTATTCGATTTGCAGCTTTATCTTGTTAATTGTTATATAACACGATACATAGGCACATTAGTAGCGTTATTTAATAGCATTGCCATCCGAGCGGACACGGATATCGCGAAGCGGGAATCTACCCAATTTTTTTTTTAACAGTGTAGTAATCTTTTAATTACAAGCGTATGTCATTTGTCTTATAGCTTATAAAATGAGATTGCGTCATCGTGGATTTTAATCGGCTGCGATTTGCCATAAATCCGCGAGCTGAACCATCGTACGGACACACGTCATCCGTAATTATTGACAATGCATAAAATAATGGCAATGCATTTCCTCTCTTTCTCTCGCGTTTTATATAGGACAGATGTTTTAATAACGGATTGCACAACTATTGGCCGGATGTCTATCCGATTTTATCGCATTTGTCACAATATAGATAACATATGCATTCTCAACTCAACTTTCTGTTCGAAAGTTAAGTTAAGAATTGAGAGACGTCCCATGTCTCTCACTTACACACTCGTAAACCATCAAATCATTTATATAACGATCTGTTTTTAACGTGAACTATTCGGATATTGTAATTTGCTTCGAAAAAAGAATTTTATTTTTTTATACAGGCTTTTCTGGGATTGGCAAAAGTGTGCGCATAGCTTTAATCCTGGTGAAATTTCGAGATGATTTTTGTTAACACGCGGACTTCCTGCCCTGTAGCGAGTTAAGTTTTAGATGTGCAAATAAATGAAATATTATTCGTTGTTTAATGTAAAATGTATTTTACTTTTGTTTTTGTAGTTGTACAAAATTTTAATTTAAGACATTAGTTTTTAAGGTGTTAAGTGTCCGAATTTGATAAACGTGTTACGAAAGAATAATTCGTTTCCTATCGAACGATTGTCTCGAAATTTCACAAATGCTGTCCATTTTTTACCGATTTTGGATCATCCTGTGATCTACGCGTGAGCATTGGCTTTACGAGTTTTATCGCTTTAATTTGCTTCACCTAAATGCTCAAGTTTAGATGAGGTCAGATTATGTCGTTTCATTATTTGCTCAGAATATTTTGATATGTATTGTCGGAGTCTCGCGGATTTCGCTCTTTCGATTTCTGATCTTTTTTTTTTCTTTTAAAGTTGTTCCTAAATGATGCGCAACGTAATCTTGCCGATACATACGATAAACGATACGAGATAGCGAACGACGATGTGCAATCATATGGAAAAAACGTAAATAAGGTACTAAAGAAATATCGATGATACGCCCAATCATACTACTTGATTCGATAATGCCTGAGATGTCATGTAATACTTAGATGGGCATGTACAAGATAACGATCGTCTCTCGATTGAACGGACCGCTGTCAGGAATTTTCTAAGCACCATGTGCTTGTAACTCTTGTAGTAGATGTGTACAGGTGTAACATATATGCGAATGCGAGCGGCTTAGAGGATTTCTGACTGTTTGTCAAATGACATATGTGCCTTTCGAAAGTAATAATGGATAGATTATAATAAGAAAATACGATATATTATGACGAATAAATTGTTTTTAATAAAAAAATTTTCGCATTAGTCCATTTCCTGTCCAAGCGAATTACAATAAATACGTTAATATACTATAAATACACAGTAACGACAATTACATTGGTCGTGTAAAAAAATATTCTCACAATATATAAAAATATTATTCGGCGATACAATGATTTCGGATACCTTAAATATATTAAGTTATGTTAAATAGAGAAAGATTGCTGTACAATACAAATATGTAAAAGTGCTCGGCTGCTTAACATAAAAACATGCCTTTGATTCTATGTACACTAGATTACAACAGTTTTGTTTCAGAGAACTTACTTTATATGAAAGAAATTTAGTTTATATAAAAGAAAGTTAAAAATATATGCAAAAATCCGCATAAGCACAATTTTACAACAAAGTTATGTGTGATGCCATTTTTATGCAAGTTTATCCGGACAAAATATAATTCCAAATAAGTTTATTTACACTTTAACAAATATAACAATTAACAAAACTATTCCCTTGAATGGAAATATTGACAACAATATTGATCTGTTTTCTATGGAGCATCTACTAATTCTTTAGCAGCAATCTCTCGCTTCTCTTTCTTTACTATATATTCTCAATAAATATGTTTCCATTAAAAAATATAATTTGTACGTATTTTCTGTACTTTCAAATTGTAATAATTATCGACAAGTTGAAAAAAAAAATTTTTCTATAAATTAATATAAATTATTTGTAGCTTAAAATAAAACTGGTTTAAAGAGAGTACCGAGACATGTATAATTTGTTTTGTATTAGCTAACGTCGAGAAGTGAATAATATATATCATATACTTCATATGTATATCATCCACGTGTCTGTATACGTAAGCGCAGTCGTTGAATGAACGAATATATATAATAAATATAAAACATATATATGTTTACGTCGATATATGCATATACAGGATAATTAAAACAAGATATTCAATGTTATATAAAAACAAAAAGAAAATTCCTTCCCATTTCTCATTTTTAAAATCACTGCAACTCCACTGGTTATTATTGATTCACTGGTTAATTACCTTATATATCGTCCTGTATACGAATACATGTCAATATTGTAGTTCAGCTATCACGCGCCTACGTAGAAAATATTTAAATAAAATTATCATGCATGTGATACCTTGTAGAAAGAAGGCCTAAATCTCATGCTTTTCTTCCTTCGCTATCTGTAGACAGATTTGAAAGTCTTCGCATTCTGCGGCTATAGCTTTGAGACTGAAAATAATTAATAATTAATACTAAAAAGAAACTAGCAATTCTGCATTAAGTCTGATATAAGACTCCCTCAATATCGTCTGTAATTTCGTAAGGAAAAAGAGAAAAGTTGAAAACCGCTATATACTTCACATACCTTTCAATGAAAATTTTTAAAGCTGATGTATCAAAATTCCCTCTTCTCATAGCTTCAGTACAAAACTGCGATAGACACTTAAAGCATTTCCGTGTAACATTGTGAGAACCCTGATTCTCCCATTCCGGTAATTCCCTGGTGATTTTCCATGCTTCTAGCGCGTAGCGCATTAGTGAAATCCAGTGCTGAGATTCTTGCAGTACTCTTCCTTGGTCGATCAGAGTTTTCTAAAAAAACAAATTGCATTAGCATTCAATAAGTTGAGCAATCAAGCAACAGTTCAATAATTAATTAATGTTTACAAAGGAAGGAGAATAAGAAAAAAAAATCTCATACAAATAAGTCTATACAGATTCCTGTCATCATGATAATGATATAATATTTGTGCGAACCTGGAACGCATCCAAATGTATGTAAGCTCGACTGTACGTGGAGTCGTCGGTCAAATTGGAAACGAATACGAGACTGGCGTAAATGTTTTGTCGCAGGACAATCAATTTCTCTAACAGCGGCTGAATATCCGCGGCCGGCATCTTCCTGGAGAGGACACTGCGGAGCTTCTCGTTCTCGCGCAACGCACCGTCGTCCTGCGCGTACACCAGATCCACAATCAGCTGTACGAGTTGCTCGTGACTGAGACCACGCAAACCATTCGCCAGGCTATCGTTGGACCGCTCCCTCGGCGCGGTCGCGACGTTTAACGACATCCGCGAGGGTAACGATGTCTTCTTGCTTTCCGGTGTGGTGAAATTGGATTGGCGAGTATCGATGAGGGAGAGCCTCTTTTTAGCGGCGTCCCTCAATACCGCATTCGACGTCGATGGACTTTTGACTGGCGTGCGGTCTCTGGAACTCAAACTGAGGACCAAGGGGAGATTATTAAACTTTCCTAGAGACGTCGCCGGCTCTTATAAACGTGCGTATGAATTAGCGGACGGATCGTACCTGAGCAAGCTGCGTCGCTTGTAGGTGTCGAGGTCGGGCGACCAAACTATAGACTTGCGCCGACCTCTCTTTTGTATGACAAGCTCGTCGGGGCTCTGCGGCGAACTCCAGTCGTCGGGCAGTCTGTTCAGCCAATTCTGCAGCGTGCTTACATCCATGTTGCGATACGTTGCTGAAAAATACATCCCATAAATTATCAAAATATCAAATGTATATCAAGCTGTCTGCAATAGGATAAACAAATATGTAAGAATAGCAAGATATGTAATTAAATTGTACGCAAGTTAAATAAGCAAGAGTAGGAGTATATCCAATGCGTATGTCCAATAAATTCTAGGTTAGAACAATTTTTATCTTAAGAGAAACGATCTTCTTAATTGGGCATCAGCTTCCACGAGGATCTATACAGCCTGTGTTCACACCCGGAACTCAAGTCAAGCCCATAGGTGTGTCAACGAGAGTTAAAAAGACAAAAATAAATGAGGTGCTTCCAAAACGCACAACGGTTTAATGTTCGAGCAATGCACGGGCAGAACGCCCGGCGGGTTTCGTCACCCTTTTCAAAAAAATGATGCAATACTTTGATCGGAACGGAACGAAAGACGTCCGTCCCGACCAAAACCGCCCAACGAGACTGTTTAAGAGAAACGATGATCGTAGGAGTTGTTATAAAAACCCAGGCATAGGAGGTTAGGTAGATTTTCGCAGCGTCACGTTCGCGCCTGTTGGGAAGATGCGTCGCGCACGGGAAAACGCGATCGCTGTCGCGCGAAATCGGCGAGAAGCTGCACGGCGCGACGTCGCTCGGGGGGCGCGGAACGCACCTGGTGTCGAATTGGCGGGAATCACCAGCGGGCCCTCGAGACGCGGCTGCCTCGCGCGCGGGGACGGGTCCAGGGTCTCTCGCAGCTGCCTCGCCATCGCGGCGGTGTTCATCGACTTCCTCGCGGCGTTGTCCCCCTTCCCCGACGTTGCCGCGGGCGATATTCGGAGAGTCTCAGTCACGAGAGCGCGACGAAACGCCTGTAAACGGGGTAGACCGTCGGCAAACCTGTCAACCGCTGTCAACCGGTGTTATTATTGTCGTTCACCCATGTTACGTCACAACACTCGGGCGCTCTGCGCGTGCGCGTACTCCGGTCTGCTTCGATCATAAAATTGGAAGATTGGGTGCTCCCGGGTGTCGTTTCTGAACGCAGCCCAGGACGAATCGCACGATCGCATTTGCATTGATTTGCATCAGAAAAATTCATCAATAGCAGAGATACTTGTATATAATGCTTGTAGATAATTATTTTGAAAATGTAAGAATTGTTCCTTTTTATTTATGATGTTATAAATTTTAATTATAAAGTAATATTTTATTGATACAAAGAAGTACATACTAGTGTCCTCTATTTTGATAAACGTTACATATCTGTGTTATAGTATACATTATTATAATAAGTATTTATAAAAAACATACTTGCTTCTCTCTGTCAATAGATTTAGGACAGAGACAGCTGTGTGTCGTTGCGTGTCATATGTTATGCTGCCGATTGGTCGAATTCTATATGTTGCATATGTTTCCACATGGCTCTCCTTGTAACTTGTGGCGACAAGCGCGTAAGGACTTAAAAAAGCAATTATTATAGGCATAATGACGAGTGTTGAATTGATAACGGGAAGATGTCTTTCTATGTGCCCGGAAAAAGAGCGACGGATGTAAGTTTTCACCATGTAGAAAGTTCGTAAATCGAAAGTTTAAGTTACAATGGATTTTGCATCGACATCACGTTTCCCACGATGTCAACATGAATATTGATTTATTTTCCGGTTTTTTTTTCACGTTTTTTCGCATTTAAAAATAAGACATCTGTTGTCAACATTCGTGTGCTTAATTATAAAAAAATTATTACCTGTCGTGTAGTTTTATATGTCACGAGATGCGATCAAGAATCTGATCATGTAACTTTTCACATTTTCATTTGTTTTCACTTAGGAGAGAGAGGGAAGGCTTGTTGCACAAATATGAGATTGACGAGAGGACGAAACACATGAAGAAACCCAAGGCCGATCCAGAGAAAACTATAAAATGCTTCAGTCGCTCCGCCGCTGGACAAGTTATGACAGATCCGAATTTGTTGCGTCCGCCACGTGTATTAATATCCACTGTCCGATACTTGTTCACCAAGTAATTTCGACTATCTCTTTAAGTATGATTCGTCCATAAAAAGTACACGGATTACTGCTGTCAGAAAGTACTTTTTTCACATACGCAATGTAGCATTGTTTATAAATCCATCGCATGATTTAACGTGTGTAATATACATCGTTTCAGGATAATCACGCGAACGGATTTAGATTGGGCGTCGATATACGACTTTGTATTCGATCGGCTGAGATCAGTACGACAGGATGCCGTGATACAAAGAGTCGATGTCACCACGAGTATTCTTCTTCTTGAACCAATTGTCCGATTTCACATATATGCCGCTCAGAGGTAAAAATTAATTGAAAAAAAGTTGGATAGTTTATTAAATATTAGGCTTTTTTTTCTAGGCTGTGCGAAAGAAACATTTCGGAATTTGATGCAAAAATAAATAGCAAACATCTGTTAGAATGTATCAAGCATCTACTTGTACTGTATGATCATCAAGCTGAAAATGCAAAAAGTAATACGGAAGTACATAAAGATCTCGAGAAACTGGCATTGAACAGTAGCCGTTCAGAGATGGAAGCCATATACATTCTTCTCCACATTGGAGATCATGAAGCTTTAGAAAGAGCTCTTAAGCTTTCGTCCGATTTGAAGTAAGTTACCAATATAGTAAAGAAAAAGTAAAAGGGGAGATTATTAATATTATACAAATTAAATAAATATTTAATATTAACTTTTCAGAAAATCACCGGCTATTCAGTTAGCTACAAAGATATCACTTGCATGGTATCTAAAAAATTATATCTGTGTTCATCATCTGATCGAGCAGTTACCTCCGGTACTAGCTTGTGCATTTTTCTGCAATCTGCAGAGCTTCAGAAGGTATTCTTATTTTTATTATTACGCAAAATATTCGATAATTACGAGAAGCTGTGATGAATAATTATTTAAGTATGAAATGGGTTTTTTATATTTCAGAAATGTTTTGCAAATCATGAGTTCTGGCTATAATAGCAAAGTGTTGACATTCCCGGGGCTGAAATTGCAGGAACTTTTATTCTACAAAGATATAAATAAAATCCAGGCGGATTGCAAGTTATTTGATTTAACGTTCACCAATGAAAATGTTTTATTTCAAAAATCACAGTTCAACGAACAAGTCTTGCTGGTTGGTACAAAATTCAAAAGTTAATTTAATTGTTTTATACTAAAAGGGAATACTTTTTCATTTTATCGTTTACTTTTTACATTGTAGGCCAATCCTGAGATGTATTACACTTCTACCACGTTACATAAATTTATGCCGAAAATTCTTTTGGAATGTACCTCTAATGATGAATGTTGAGTTAATTTTTACGTAATATAGAATTTTTATATACAATTGTGGATCTACTGGATCTAAGTTAACGATATTTAAACTTCAAGGATATCAGAGAAAGAGAGAGAGAGAGAGAGGTAGTAAATGTGTACCAGGACATTTTTTTTAATTGTAATGGAAATTTGTTATTCATTAAAGAATTATATTTAAAAAATTTATTTGATTGCGCAAGTTATTTTACACATATATTTTAGAAAAATGATTTTAACATATATGAATAATTTTTTTCTAACTAATACTATTCGATACATGTATCTCTGTGATTATATTCCATGCTATAAAATAATTAATGAGTCAACAGTAGTACCTATTTGAACCAAATGCGGGTGAAAGCGAAAAAAGAGTCGACACAACGTGGATACTCTTTTCATAATTTCCTTGTTGTTACATCAATTCTCTACATTCCATCGGCCGGATGAGATTTTTTTCGATAAACGAATTGTTAGCTTACGATGATCATCGAATACGCTAATAAAAAAAAGAAGAGTAATCTATAATGTGACTGTAGAAATGGTTTTTCCTGAACTGACAGAGTACGGGTTCAAATCTCGTTTCCACAGATTTGCAATCAGATGTGACCAGATGACTAAAGGCATCACGTCACAATACACAATATACATCCGTAAATTACATTTCATACAGATGATTAAAAAAAGTCTCAATTTTATTGAGAAAATATCTTATGCACTTCTAACACATGCATATATCGTGTGTACAATAATATTAATGTACACACGGTATATACAATAATATACTTATATTTACTGAGAATCACTAGACGAACTACTCGAAGAATCCGTGGACATAACTTCGACGTCTTCTGTTTCTTGTTTATGTGTATTCACAGCCACACTACCCTGTCCGCCGACCGACATATGAATCTCTCCCGACGGATGCCAGGCAAATTGATTTGATTGCGAAACGGGTGGTTCTGAAACGGTAGAAAATCCTCTTGTAACTCTGTTTATTCTTGTGGATTTGAATGTATGTATAGATATACAAGATATTTTACCTCCAGCAGGATGTCCTGCTCTATGTAGATCGGACGGTATTCCTGGATGAGACCCGAGCACCTGCCCATTTAAAGGTAGGTCACTCAATCGTCCCAGGTACCCTGATCTCATTTCCATGTCTGTGGGATACGGCCTTCTGGGATCTCCCTGCTGCCACGTTAACGGCGCGCAAATGGCATTAGTTGCGCTTATTCTGTGTGCGTACTTAATAAGCTCCTCCGAGGGTACCGGTCTCTTATTGGCACGTGCAATAGACTGCAATTTCTGTTTCGCTTGATAAATCGCCGTAGCCAGGATCTGCTCCGCTTCTTTCAACTGTCGCTGCAGCTGCTGAATATCCTGGTCCTGCCTCTCTACCTCGGCCTTCAGCGCCTCCATCTTCAGGTTGATCTTTGCTTGCTCGGCGGCCCGTTTCAGCGTCGCCTTTAACTCGTTATCTTTGGCGACCAGCAATTCAGTTAACTGAGCGTGCTCCATGCTCGAAAGTTTCGCAGGTTTCTGAGCGATTGTGTTTTCTATCATCTCCCTAAAAAAATATATATATTCAGCCTATTTACAAAGAAATTACAAGAAAAACAATAAATAAGGCAAAACAATGTGTGACAAAAAGGAACGAAAAACCAGAATAATCTGTTAACTGTACAAATTTCTCCTTTAAAATTCTTCTTCGAATATTTGTATTCTTACTCCAATTGTATTAAAATAATCGAAACTTCAATTTTTTCTTTTAATTAAAAAAAAATCTTAGAACATATACTACTGTAATACATGTTCTAAGGGAAAAATATTAATCTACAAAAATTAATGTGAGACACACATTTATTACTTATGGCAAATGTAACTCACTTCGCTATTAATTCAATATCGTCCACCAGCGATAACAGAACTTCTCTCGTACTCCTGCTCGATGCCATCGCGGTTGATCGTTCAACAAGCAGACTCTGCCGAATTATGTGTGAATTCGTTTAATTAGCAGTATGTAATTAACATAAAAGCGTTCACGTGTTGTACACAATTATCACATTTCTGTTTCAATCTGTTGACATCCAATAACGTTCATCATGTATACCGGACGTCTCAAATGACGCGAGATAGCACATCGCGATACATCCGACATGTTTTGACGCGACTCTACACGACTTTTCAAAACATACACACGATTTATACAGGTTGTTGCAGTATCTCGTCAAGAACGCAGGAAAGATGTTTATTTTTCGCAGCTGGACTTCTCGTATTTTACCTTTTTTTTTTCCAGTGTCTACACAATTGTATTAAATTATATTAAATTATGTTGATATTATATTAATATCAATTATTAATTTTACTTAATATTACACTTATTCCACTTCGAGTGCACAAAATAGCAACAAGAAAAACAAGAAATATATACAGACTGAAAATTAACAATTATAATTAGATGAATCAGATAATTTTAACGATTATAATTAGATAAATCAGACAATTTTAATTTTATCCCGTTTTGTTTCTAATTGATTTTAATCTGCAATTCGTATAGTTCATCTTCGATCTGCGTGGAATACGGACTTTGCTTCACCAATCAGATTCAGTTTTCAAAAAACCGTTCTCACTCGACGCGTAGATTTCCTCTCTAGGTGCGCACCTACCGCGTCTCCCGCCCAAACCTGGGGATTTTTCGCGGCCTGCCAGCCTGCGCCCTGCGTGTTGTACAAATGTCGCTCTGCCAACAGATAGATCGGTCGAATGTTTTCGTTTCGGGCGTTCAGCGTCAGTGAGTCTCGCATGCCAGAATTGCCAGGTCTCGTACGCGTTTTCTCGAGTAACATCAACGCGAATGATACGCACGCCTGACTTCTCGTCGCATCATGTACATCAAGCAGGTATTGCGCAACAAACTCGTAATCGCGTCGCGACCTAGCGCGGCACTTCCCGACGGAGGGATCTCTGTGATCCGTTTTTCCTCGCTCGCGAGTCGACCGCACTTTTCCCGCATCTCCCGCGTCTGTTCTCGCGAATGGATTACCATCGTGGCCCCGCGTAGAATCGCCCCCGTGAGCCATAAGCTACTTTCGAGGCCTCGGAGGCTAATATATTGCGCCCGAAGCGTTGTCGACACGTCACACGCATTGTTGTCATTGTTGTGATTCTTACGAATGGAATTGTGACAACAGTGAGTTCCGAAGCAGCGAGTACACGTTGCGCTTACATGCTCATATTGTGGTTTCGTGTGTTGATCACAGGTGATCATTCAAGGATTCAAGTCGTATCGCGAGCAGACGGTTGTCGAGCCTTTCGACCCAAGGCACAATGTAGTGGGTACGTAGCTGTGACGATCTTACGCGGCAATGTAATTGATACGTAATACGATTGTGTAATCTGACACTTTTCTTATAAGTTGGCAGAAACGGATCTGGCAAGAGTAACTTCTTTTACGCCATTCAATTTGTCCTGAGCGATGAGTTCTCTCATCTCAGGCCGGAGCAGAGGCAGGCGCTGCTCCACGAAGGGACGGGACCTCGTGTTATATCTGCCCACGTAGAAATCATATTTGATAATTCTGATGGGAGATTACCGGTAAAATCACCAGTTTATATCGCTGATTATTGACATTCTTTTTATTTACATATATTTTATATATATAAGTGATATTAAATATACAAATTATTTAATATTATTTTAGAATTTTATCTATATATTATTTCCTAATAAATAATACCTATAATTTTATTATTTATTTCATAGATCGATAAAGATGAAGTTTATTTAAGAAGAGTAATCGGCTCTAAGAAGGACCAATATTTTCTCAACAAAAAGATTGTGACAAGGAACGACGTGATGAATTTGTTGGAGTCAGCAGGATTTTCTAGGTCCAATCCATATTACATTGTGAAGCAAGGAAAGGTTTGTTAATGTAGCATATTAATGTTTATCTTATATTTATGTTTATCTATAGCATAACGTAATTATTTTGTAGATAAACCAAATGGCAACAGCACCAGATTCGCATAGATTAAAGTTATTGAGAGAGGTAGCGGGTACTAGAGTATATGATGACAGGAGAGAAGAGTCAAAGTCCATTTTGAAAGAAACAGAAGGGAAGCTGGAGAAAATCGAGGATTTTCTGCGAACAATAGGTAATTAAAGATGAAAATTAAAATAATATTCAAACCAAATGTGCAAATAATTATTTTATTATAGAGGAGCGTTTGAAAACACTCGAGGAGGAGAAGGAGGAACTGAAAGAATATCAACGTTGGGACAAACAGCGTCGTTGTTTAGAATATACGATCCACGAGCGCGAACTCAAAGAAAATAAAAGGAAATTGGAAGACCTCGAGGAGTCTAGGGCGAATAGCGGAGCCGAGCAGGCGAGATTGGGCGCGGAAGCAAAAACCGCTCAAGAGATGGTACGTGCAGCTACGAAGAGGCTAAAGGAAGCGAAGAAAGAAGTGCAGACTGCCAAGGAGGAAAGGGACACTCTTAGGTGACATACATATACCAAAGATTGTATATAAAACAGATGAAAAACAGCAGAGGAAAAAATGCAATAAAATATTTGTAATGCAGTGCGGAGCAGCAGCAGTTACTAAAGGAGAAGAATAAGTTAACTTTTACCATTAACGACTTGCTCGAGGAGGTCAAAGGCGATAACGACAGCAAGAAACGTGCTCAGCAAGAGTTGGAAAAGTTGAAGGCTAATATCTCTGTTCGGGAAGAAGAGTTGAAGTCACTTAAACCAGAGGTGTGAAAATATTCCATGATATTTAATATGTTTGATTTAATACATATAACTAAAGATGTATATTAAAATCGGAAACGTTTTTCTTTACAGTATGAAAGAATGAAACGTGTTGAGGAGGAGTGTACGCGAGAGTTGCAATTAAAAGAGCAGAAACGTAAGGAATTGTATGCTAAACAAGGTCGTGGCAGTCAATTTACCACCAAGGTAAAAGTGAAAAAAAAATCATAATCTTAATCATAATAATTTAAATTACATTTTGGTTTCTAGACTTTAATCCCAATAAGATATTTTAAAGAGATTTATTTATTGCAGGATGAAAGGGACAAGTGGATACAAAATGAACTTAAACAGCTTACGAAGCAGATAAAGGATAAAGAAGATCATCAGAAGAAGATCAGCGAGGATTTGAAGCGTGATGCGGAGAAACAGGTTGCCTTGGAGAAGAAAATCGGAGACCACACGCGCGAGATGGAACGGCAACGTGCGTCGATAGACGACCATAACAAGCAATATTACGAGCTCACGAAATCGAAGGATCAGTGTCAAGCAACTCGAAAAGAACAGTATGTTTAATTTGTTAAAATTAGCAAACGTTACCTTGGAAATCTTAGACTTTTACAAGCTGAGTGTGTCAAATTGCAGATATCGGCAGGAGAGTGTAATGCAATTAAATCTGTCTGGTCTAAAGGAAGATTTAGCGAAAGCGGATCAAAGTCTAAGATCCATGGCTGGCAAACCTATTTTAAATGGCAGAGACAGCGTGCGTAAAGTGCTAGACACTTTCCGGTAAGATTTAGTTTTTTTATCAAGAGACACGGTAGTGTCTCACGCCAAGTATGCGTAATAAAAATACATGATCTTTTAAAGACTTTTAAAGGCAATTTTTAAATGCTTCTATTTAAAATCTATGATGATATGTGTGTAATATATACTTAATATCTGCGATTCTATAGTGGACGAAAAGATATGGCTAACGAAGTTGGCAACTACTATGGGCCTGTAATTGAAAATTTCAACTGTGACAAGAGCGTCTATATGGCTGTTGAAGTGACTGCTGGAAATCGATTGTTCCATCACATTGTGGAGACCGATAAGTTTGGCACGAAAATTTTAAAAGAGATGAACAATCAACGGCTGCCTGGAGAAGTAACTTTCATGCCGCTAAATAGACTTCACGTAAAGGATATCGATTATCCGCAGACCTCTGATGCTATACCCATGATATCCAAGTTGAATTACGATCCCAAATTTGACAAGGCGTTAAGGTAAAAGCACATCAAATTAATTAAACAAAATTTGTTTTTTTCTCTTGTCATATTTCTTTGTGAAACAAACTTTGCATTATCATCTTTTTGTTAAATATAGATATATATTTGGAAAGACTTTGATCTGTCGTAATTTGGAGGCTGCAACGACTCTGGCGCGAGATTCCGGCTTAGATTGCGTTACGTTAGAAGGAGACCAGGTTTCATCCAAGGGCTCTTTAACTGGCGGCTATTTCAATACACTCAGGTCACGGCTTGAGATACAGAAAACAAGATCGGAATTAATGTCGCAGATCTCTACTCTCGAGACCCAATTGACGACGCTTAAGGAGGAAATCAGAAAGGCGGATCAAAATATTAGTTCTTACGTTAGCGAAATGCAGAGGACTGAGACCAGAAATAGTAAAGCTAAGTAAGTAATTAGATCTTTAATTTATAAATATTGATATGAATCACAAATTATATATTTTGAATTTAGTGTTTGAATATTTATATTTAATTATTGAAATAAATATTGAAATTTCGCTGTTTTATTTTTATTATGGAAATTAATTAGCAATTTATTATTTACTTGACAGAGATATATATGACAAAATGAAAGCAGAGATACGTCATATGAAGGAAGAGTTGAGTGCTATAGAAAGGTACCGGACACCGAAAGAGAGGAGTCTTGCACAATGCACATCAAGTTTGGAAGCTATGCGCGCTACTAAGGACGGCCTGGAGAGTGAATTACATCAAGAACTTATGGCGCAATTATCCGTTGCGGATCAGCATCAGGTGCGCACAAACAGAATTTTAAATTCCTTTTTTCCACCTTGGATTAAATATTAGAACTCTATTCATTTCGGTTTTTGTAGGTCGATACTTTGAACGACGATATAAGACGCTTAACGAAGGAAAACAAAGAAGCTTTCGCGAAACGAATGCAGTTAGAAGCGGAGAAGAATAAGTTAGAGAACTTGTTGACAAACAACTTAGTGAGAAGAAAGGATGAGCTGGTTCAAGCTTTACAAGAGATATCGGTCGAAGATCGACAGCGGCAGCTCGACTCGTCAAAGATGCAGTTGGCGGATATTGAAAAGAGATTAGTGAAAGTAAACGAGGACTTTAAATCGCAAAATGAAAAAGTGACCAACGCCATGAAGAAAGTAAGGATTTGGAAAACACAGTCACCACTTCGTACATATTTAAATGATGTAATCCTTAATTTTCAATTTGTCGTATATTTAGCAAAAATCGGAGTCCTCTGAAGTTGAGAAGTGGAAATTGAAAGAAAAAGAAGCGCAAGAGAAAATTGAAGCGGACGCGAAAGACTTGGAAAAATTAGCGAGCAAGTTAAACATCCTGCAGCAGAAAATAGTGGAGTGTACACAGAAAATTACCGAACTTGGCGCGTTGCCTAGTCACGAAGCTTATTCCAAGTTTAGTACAATGTCCACGAAACAGCTTTTTAAGGAAATGGAAAAGGCGAATAATCATTTGAAAAAATACAGGTGCGTACTTTTTCTATTTAAACATAGTGAATTGGTTACAAGCGACAATTATTAAAGATCATTGACTACTGTTACTATATTTATAAATTGTGTTTGACATGTTTTTTTTAATGTTTATTTTCTAGCCATGTGAATAAAAAGGCTTTGGATCAGTTCATGTCCTTCAGCGACCAGAAAGAAAGATTAGTGAAACGGAAAGAGGAGTTGGACCGAGGCGACGAGAAGATAAAAGAACTCATGTCAGTACTCGAACAACGCAAATGCGAAGCGATACAATTTACTTTTAAACAAGTATGTCTTTTCATGTATATCGTTTAAACATTTAAAGCAGTGGAGGATTATATTGATATATTTAATCTGTCATGATAATATATTCTAAACACATTTTCATGTGACAATCTTTTTTTTTTAAGGTAAGCAAGTATTTCAGTGAAGTATTCAAAAAGCTTGTACCTTCGGGGCATGCACAATTAGTCATGAGGACTGCGGACGGCGATGAAGGGGATGACGGAACAGCGGAGCCGTCAGATTCTGATAGATTTATCGGCGTTGGTAAGGAAATAGATTTTTATATAATTGAAATGTACAATATAATAAGAACAATTTATTTTTTGAGAATTTGATTAACTTTATTCTTCGAATTAGCTATATTTCATATTTATATGATATATATTCTACTTGTGGATTTCAAAAACATATATCGTTTCTAGGCATAAAGGTATCATTCACGGGACACAGAGGCGAAATGCGAGAGATGAACCAATTATCCGGTGGACAAAAGTCACTCGTGGCATTGGCCCTGATATTCGCGATACAAAAGTGCGATCCAGCACCGTTTTATCTATTCGACGAAATCGATCAGGCGCTAGATGCACAACACAGGAAGGCAGTGGCGGACATGATCCATGAGCTTAGTTCTGACGCCCAGTTCATCACCACGACGTTCAGGTAACGTAATGCAATCAGTGGGTCTTTTTTACAAGATTTCGAGATTGATTAATGCAATTGTTAATGGAACGACAGATAAAATAAAATAATAATATAATAAAATAAAGATGCGTTTGTTTCGCAGACCGGAATTACTGCACCATGCGAATAAATTCTATGGAGTGAAGTTCAGGAATAAAGTTTCGCATGTCGAATGCGTGACGCGGGAAGAAGCGGCCGATTTCGTTGAGGACGACACAACGCACGGTTGAAACAAGAATTGTTTATTTATAAAGTCTACAATCAAGAAAATTTGTATTTTTTTTTTTTCGTGTATCCAGGAGATAACCCACGCATACAAATGGATCAACTTTACTACAATCTCCAACCAGATTTTCATGTTGACAGCTTTTTTTGAAACATTTTATGTACAAAGTAATCTCACGCAAAAGAAAAGAAAAAAAATTAATTTTTTTAATTCAATGTACATCTGAATTTTTTGCTAGATCATTATAGCATGGAACATGAGTCATGTCACGAATTTGAGCAAAGGAAAAAACACATGATCTTTGATAATTTAATATTTTATTTGTGTGCAACAGATTACATGTTATGAAACATGACAAAATATGATAATTGAAATTTGGTATATATATGAACTGTTTTTTTATATTATAAACTTTATAGGAAAATAAATGAGGACTATGATAAGAAACGCAGTAATGTTCAGTTCATGAAAACTTAGAATGATCGTTATCCATTATAATTTAAGTTGATACAAGAGCGGTGTTAATAAGGACAATAAATATTCCCAAGTAGAAAATTCGGTTTAAAAAGATGTTTATTCGAAGCATTCCTCTTATTGGTTGTCGCCTTAGCCTGACTTCGCATTCATTATACTTATGACTAATTTTAGTACTAAAGCGTTAATTAAATCAACGGTAAAAGAAATGTTAGTGTGTGCATCATATACAGAAATAATTTCATGAAAACCTTTACTATTTTAAAAAGATTGATGGATTCTAGGTTTTCTTTTCGATGATTTTTATCCCTAAAACATAATTAACACTATCAACTTCCAAAATGATATTCACGATTCAGCCATCAGAGTAAGTTTCCTTTTTTTTTAAATGTAAATATTAAGAGTTCACAGCTTCACAATTATACTTCATTTTTGCACGAAGAGTTTCTCACTATATGTATATATACGTGTATTGGTATACACATGATCACCGTAACAAGTCTTGTAATGCAAAAGTCATCGATGACACTAAAGGCCACTGCGTTTGCATGGAGGAATCATGTGTACAATGTAACGTTTTATTCCAAATGGCTTTTTGAACACAGATTTTTAAGAGCAATATGACGATAAGTATCCCACATGGCTTAATGTATCTGCGATACACGAATGCGAATTTCCTTAATATTAAAGGAGTCTGTGACAGCAGAGCAATATGACGATAAGTATCCCATATGGCTAATGTATCTGCAATACACGAATGCGAATTTCCTTAATGTTAAAGGAACTTGTGATAGCAGTGTTATTCGTCTTTTATTACAAGTTATGTTATATGCGGTTCCTTACGTCTCTTCAATGGATAGCGATGAGACCAGATTCCAGAAGTTTTTGCAATTTTGCAGCTATGTCAGGATTCTTTAAATGGCTGTGAAAAGACAAAGAAAAGATTTAACATCCGTATCGTTAAATAGGGGAGCAAATTATTTTTAAAAGGCATATCATAAGATTTTCAAGGAACATTCGGTCGTGTACAAATAGAAAATAAAATAGTAAAGTTGTTGGGATGATGAGAGGCTCCGTGTAAAAACGGTAAACTTGCATTCAGCGAGTCTCGGGTTTGATCCTGATCTCTTCATTTCATATAATTCCAGTTTATAAGAGACTTGATTGGGGAATTAAAAATTTGAATAAAAGAATGTAAGGTATGAATTGTAATCCATTTCGGGAACAATAAATTGATATTGTAACATTTCTCTTGGAATAATAGCAAAAATATTCTACTGACAAAATCCTCTTAAAAATGAGCAATAAGAGCATTTATATATACGTCAATGCATGCAAATGTATATATTACTTACTCTTGTAAAGCTCTTGGATCGCTCTGCATTTGTTCCAAGATCAATCTCATGGCTGGATCTCGCAATATACTCTGGATATCCGGATCCGCCATCGCTCGCTTTCTAACTTCCTCCGGGTTAGAGGTGGCGGACATGGCGCAGGAGCGATAGCCCTCCAACGCCTCGCTGTTCTGCGGATCGAGTTCCAGCGCCTTCTGATACGCCGTCAGGGCCTTACCCGGCTGCTGCATGGCCTGCAGGATCTTTCCTTTCCTAATCCAGCCCTTGATGAACTTCGGATCCAGCTCGACAACCTTCTCGCAATCCTTCAAGCCGAGGTCGAACGCCGCGAGTTTGGTGTAACAGGCCGCTCTGTTACTGTAGTACTTTGGGTCGTCCGGATTTCTCAGGATCGCCTCGGAGTAGTGCTTTATAGCCGCGGGGTAATCGCCGTCTTTGTACCTTTGATTGCCGAGTTCCTTCTCCTCTTCCGCCTTGACCGGGTCGATGTACGCTTTTCTCTCCTCCTCCCTGATTATTTTGTCTATATCCGAGAGTAAGGTCTTGATCTCCGGCGTTCTGTGCTCGGACATGGACTTTTCGTAGTACACCTTCGCCTGCTTCCAGTTCTCCATCTTTTTGTAAGCGTGACCAATTCTCGTGAACGCTTTCGCTATCAATTTGAAATCCGCTCTATTTTCCCTACCGGTCTCGATGGCCCTCTCGCACTGGGCGATACACCTGTCGTACTCCTTCTGCTCGAAGTACACCGCCGCTATGTTCAACAGATAAACGATCTCCGTCGAGTCCAATTCCACGGCTTTGTTGTAATGCTGCAGCGCTTCCTCGAAGCACCTCTTCTTGTACGCGTCGTTGCCGAGCTTCTTCTCCTCCAAGGCTTTCCTCTTCTCGGGCGTGAGATTGTCCTCCTCCTCCTTCTTCTGGGGCTTCGGTTGCGGTTTCGGTTTCGGCGGCTGCGGCGGATGCATCGGCTCGGTCTCCATCGCTTCCTCCATCTCGGCGCTCATCCCCAACAGCACGCTGAGGGTGGTGAGCACCCTGGTGTCTTGGAGCTTGGTGCCGAGGCTCTGCGGATTGGTTCGCAATTCCTGCAGCAGCTTCATGTACTCCGGATCGCCCAGGTATCCCTTCGTTCTGGGATCGTTCGCCAGCTTGACGAACATGTCCGGCGAATTGAACGGATTGGTCGCGGCGGCTGTCTTCTGAGCCCTCACCTCGGCCAGACTGCTCCTGAGCTGCGCATTGTTTGGATCCAACTGCAGGCCCTTCTCGTAGGCCCGTATAGACTCGTCGTACCTGCCCAGGTAGGCGAGGGCGCTGCCCTTGCGCGAGTAACCCTTCCCCCAGTCCGCCTTCAGACTGACGGTCTTCTCGGCATCCTCCAGCGCTTGCTGATACTTCTCGGACTTGGCGTACGCCGCCGAGCGGTTACTGTAGAGAACGTGATTATTGCCGTCCAGAGCGATCGCGTCCGTGTAGCATCTGATGGCCTCATCGTAATCGCCCGTTTGTAAAGCAGCGTTTCCTTTCTCCTTCAGCAAAGCTACCTGCGAAGCGACACGTAATCGAGAATGTAATACTCGGTCGTGCACGTATCTAGCGGATATTGAGAGGGTCAACGGAGAATCTTTCGGAGTAATTCTCCGGTTGGTAAGTCAAAACGATCAATCCTAATAATTGCATTAGACGTATTAGTTCGTTATATTTTCGCTATTTATTCTTAATCCAGTCTCATCGTGGCCTTGCTCGAGCTTTTGCCGCGATTCGACGGGACAGACCCGCGGTGGTCGCGTACTCGGGGAGGAGATTCGCCCGGGGAAAGAGGGAAATCGTCGACCTCGTGCAACGTGACGAAGCATTCCTGCGGCAGGAAACGGCGGGCGCGCTTCGCCGTCGCGATCGCGCGCGTAAGTCCACGGGGCCTACCAACGTGGCCCCGCGCGACGCTTACCTGATCACCCATCACGCACGCCGGAAATGTTGCGAGCCTCTACCTCGTCGCCGACAATCGCCGTCGTCCCGTTCGTACGTGCGATAGAGGCACTTTCGACGATGACTCGCGCGAATTCTCGTGAATGCTGCTCCCTCGTGCCGCACGCGTGTATGCCGTACCGGCGCAGATTTCAGAAAGCTCCAGAAACATCCAGAAACGGACGAGCAGCGACCCCACGCTACACTCGCTGCTTAGCGAACGCGTGGTGTATACGTGGTATATATATATGTATATGTATGCATACACGAGGTGTTCGCAAAGTCACGCTGCTTTACCGCTGAACGGATCGTTTCTTTTTTTGGTGGAAATAAATTTTATAATTTTTATAACATTAATATTTGTGACGTAGATTTGATGAAGTGTGCAAACTATTTTATCATATTTATTATATTATTTTCTTCTCACATATATAATTCTTTAATTACTTCCGTTTCCGTGATGAATTTAGAAAAACGCGCATCATTGCCGCGCGATTTGCTGCGTCGTTAAGAGACGTCGAGTCGTAGTTTGAAAATATTATAAAAGAGGAATTTTCTCAATAAAAAATTTCATCGATCCTAAATTAATTATAATTGGATTATCAGATTTAAACTAACAGAACTGAAATTTTGATGGAGCACGCATGAAAAGCAATCATTTCTTGTTTTCAGATTTAATTCTCTGGCACAAAAATTGTATAATATTTGTACGTTTTATTAATGCAATTTACAATAGTAGATAATTGACTTTTTTAAATCTAAGCGTATCTAATGATTTAAATTTATAACACTCTGTTTATATAGCACGTTTTGTGAATAATGTTATACAACGTTCTGGCGGAAATGACGGTTGAATAATATTTGCATGTATTTTTAATGCAATTCGCAGACCACGCTTTGGACGATGCTATTTCATGTCGGAATTCAGAAATATTTATAATCTTTTGACTTTTCATGATTTTCTACGCTATAAAATATACATATATATATAATATATAAATATTTAAAGTTTCAAAATACGCGAATAAAATATTTATAGCAAATTAAACTCTACCATGCATGTACGTCATTCATATGTATATAAAATGCATAGAATTAATTTCATTAAAAAATTGCCATGTCATTCGTATATGAATGATATTTAATTAATTTTATACAAAATTGCCAAGAATAAGTCAAATCCGCGACGTTTAATTCTATTATAATTTATTTATTTTTTGCCATAGAACATTATTTTAGATTAATTTAGATTACTTTATAATATAGAGTAACTGTTCCTATTAATGTGCCCTGTACCTATTAGTGTACTTTTATATTTAAGTCAAAACTAAAAATAAACTGGTACAAATAAATAGACAAAGTATTTTTTTTATAAAGTTAATACTTTAACTTAATAAAAAGATTCTTTGTCTATTTATTTGTACTAGTTTATTTTTACGACTTATTTAAATATAAAAGTACACTAATAGGTACAGGGCACACTAATAGGGACAGTTACCCTATTTTTAAATTGGAAAATTAAGTTCTTTTTTGTCAATCAAATTATAAAGATTTTATTCAGGGAACAAAGATATTTATATTTTTTATACCGTTTATCTTTTCTTTTTTTTCACGTCTGATTATTTTATTTTAAATGCAAAAATTAGTACTTGTATATTATATTTCTCTTATTGAAGATAAAATACGTCAGCTTATTTCTTAAATATAGTATTTTCATTATTGAAGCGAAAGAATTTATAGAAAATCCGTTAGCAATTTTAATAATCGAGTCTCGATCTAAAACGCGCGAAAGAATATCAGGTATTAAATGTACATGTGTAGGTCTGATAAGATACAACAAAGTGATTAAGAAGTAGCAAAATTTAAAAAACAAATATATTTCTTGTCGCAGCAATAATAATACGAATGATAATTTGCTATCCTTAAAAAATTCATCGATCTAGGATGATTTATAGGACCTGAACTAAATTCCAATTAATTCACGATTACTTAAAAAAAAAAAAGATTAAATCAATGTATAGATAACGAATTGTGTAATTAGAAATTATGCTATAACTCTGTCAATCGCGAATTAAGATTCGGATTAAGACTTCTACTATAAACTTCGATTATTTTTTTTAGCACTTAATGTTCAGTGTTTACTTCTACATATTCACTTTAATCTCTAAAATTAAATTATAAGTATGATTTTTTATTATCTTTTAGTTTTAAGAGTTAAAAAAATAGAAAGTACATTAAATTCAAATTAAAATTAATCGTACAGATTTAATAAAAATGCATGGACATGAATCAATCAGTATAGATATACGATCTTATGGCAAAATTTTTGTCGAAATTTACTCTCTCTAATCTAATATTTTAATTTTATCCAAATGAAAACTGCAATCTTTTTTTAAGAGTGGAGAGATTACTATACTACTTTTGAAGAGTGGTAAGATTACTATACGTGTACGCCGTAAATAATAACGTAAATCATTACTGGAGAAATGATTGAGCTATTTATAAGTTGAAAAACATTAAGTGTTAAGTTGTCGGGCAGGAAAATAAAGGTTTCTGATTAGAAAATTACATATTATTTGTCTATATATGCCAATAAAATAGTAACAGGCATTGCTTCATAAGTGAATTGTTGATTATATAAGTTAATCAAATAATATAATCGCCTCTTCACGTGGAATTTTTCATAAACGATAAGACGCGCGCCTTTCCCGAGAACGGTTTTTTATCACGAACTATAAATTACCTCGACAGCACGCATCAATTGGGACGTAAGACACATATCTTAGTCGTCATTAAAATGTTTTTTTAAGCGTGTTTGTACGTCCACGATGCTACCAATCGCTCCGAGATCTCTCAGAAGAGAAAGAATGAGCAAATCACATTTGAACAATTCGGCCAAAATTGGCCAATATGTATAACTGATCAATTCTTTATTAGGTTCGAGATCTTGTGATTTTTAGTTTCGTGGATAATTTTCTGTACATGTGTATTATTATGTCTTGATTTTTCACATGTGTACTGTCTGGATATTTTTGCACTTACACGTGTTGGGGAACACGTTCTACTCACAATCGGACAAGAGAGAAGAAAGAGAGAGAAAGAGAGAAAGCTGTCGTTTCTACGATATCCAAATATACTCTGAAACTTGCACAAATTCTCTCTTTCTCCTTTTCTTTCTCTTTCTCTTTCTCTCCCTCTCTATGGCTCAAACTCTCTGAAAAAGGAATGAGCGAGCTTCTTGGAATGCCTAGACCATTACACGAAACTCAAAATAACACGCGACGGTCGGCCCTTGCTCTAGATTTTTATGTCGCCGTTTCGGATTTAACCGCGCCGCTTCATCCACCGCTTCTTACGCCACCAAAAACCCCGTTACGTTGAATGCTCTTTATAAGATGCTTCGCATTATCTATAATGGTAGATACTAGATATATTCATAATTATATAAATTATATAAATATAAATGTTTCTGCTGTATGTGTTAACGTGATATATTTTCTATAATAGCAAATTATTAGATCTCGGAGATAGAAAGTTGAGTATTGTATTAGAATCTTGTACCATTCCGTCTTTTTATATCGTCGTTAATATATTTTTAAGAGATATCAATTCCTTTTTTTTGGTTGTATAGAAATAACATATATAACGTCCGGGGTAATATACATATATCTGAAAGACGTTCTTTCCTCTAAAGCCTCTAAATCTATATGCGTGTTTGCGATGTGGGAATTTCCAGATTTCCTCTTGGAAATGTGTTGACCCAAGCGATATCGTCTCCTTGTGATTTTTTGCGCCGTAAATATATAATAACGTCAGCCGATCGGTATGGGGCATGAAAGAAAAAGACGTCTCCGTATTTCGCAACATCGTCTTCTTTTTTTTTATTAAAAATAATTATGGCTTTTACATACGTAGGAATATAACAATAATGACGACGTCATTGTCGTTAATATATCATGGCTATGAAATATTTATACGATTTTAATGGAAGATGGCTATGTACACGTGAGATGAAACTTACTGTATACTCTTCGACGAAAGCGATCTTAAATTATTATACTAAATGAACACTGATCCGGTTAACGTTCGATCAACGGTTAATCGTCGATAAACGTATATTGTTCTGGATCTTTCTTTTCTCTACGCTACATAAATATGCGTACGTATATATCGTACAACTATCTGGCCCATTATCTCAGCTGATTAGAGCGTCGCGCTAATAACGCATACGTCGTATCACTATAAATCGCATGCTATAAAAACGAGAATTTGATTATTTATACATATATATATATATATGTCTTCAACCTAAAATGTATTTTGTACCACGCGCCAATCTCGTCAGCTTACGATCTATGATTTATAATAAAATCTTTCTTTTCGTCGATATTCATTCGTCCACGCGAATCAATATTTCTGTATATCAATATATATACATTATCAGTACTTCTCTATTTATATTACAAAACATCGCGCTCGCAAGGTGCGAATATTTCATTCACACGTTGTCATACATCTCAGAATAATCACATATACTCTCTTCTCGTTCGCATTGCACAGATCATTCGATCAACATCATAGGATTGATACTTAAATGATGAAATACAAATTGTCTTTTGTATTACTTTTACAACACATTTTCAAAATGGTGTTGCACATTCCATTGCACATCCTATTGCACATTATTAAAGGAAAAAACCTACTAGAACAATCTACGTTCACATATCGTTGCTTCGTTCGTTAATCGAATATTCGTTAATCGCATATAAGTTCGTTTCTGAGATTCTCGATTTCTTTTCGTTATCTCTTCATTCGTTTATCTTTCGGCATACATTGCCGCTAATATCGATTTGAAAAGCATATATAGTCTATTGTATTATAATAGCAATACTCGCATGAGTTCAATATGCATCTCTATAATATCGAGCACGTATAACGTAGGCCGAAGCTAGAACTCCTAAAATTCCATTTGTTATCTACGTTACTTAATTAGCAATCTTCTCACTTTCCATTATCGTTCTAATTCAATTCCGTGAATTAGAATGATGTCAAGAGCGTCAAAACTTGCGACTTCAATTTGATTCTAGAAACGCAATTGTTATCTTTTAATTTAATAATATTTTTACTCTCAAATAGCAATTATCTGAATTCATCCGATTAATTAACACGGTTTCATAAATATTTTTAAACATTAAAAATCAAGATTCAGCTTTCATACATTTATTATGTGTATGTGTTATGTGTTAATTATTTTTTAATCTTGCTGTGTTTACAGTTATCCGTCTTAATTTCACCGATAAAACAACATGATAAAGTACAACTTCGTAGTTGTTTTCATACAACTCGGAATACATCCCAGATAGCACACGATTCATAGAATCTCATAGGACGCTCTAATGACATTTGTACATCCTTGGAATGTTCTATGAAAGTACCTACAGGAAATCTGTGCTGTCTGGGATTCTTGTATGCATGTCATACGTAGCATGCATTTTTGTCATTTTTTTTTCATTCAACAACCGTACAACGTTTGGATCCGTTCAATGAATTAATCGGATATTTATCGGAGAGTATTTGCACGTCAGACTTTCACTTCGACGGCATTTTGCATCTTGACGATTGCGGGCAAGTAACTCGCCTCCCCGTAAGTCTCGTCCTCGGAACTGTTCTCGGAACTGCTCTCCGAATCCGAATCCGGCAGCGGCTCCGGCTTTGCGCCGTATCGCACCAGCTCCCTGGCGAGCTGGCTGTCGATGCACAGTGCCAGCTGGTAGGCCGTCAGACCGCTGTACGTCTGCGTGTCCAGACAGGGCTTGCACTCCTGCAGCAGGAAGTTAACCACCGGCCGACATTCACGTTCCATCGCGAGGTGAAGCGCCGTTTTCCCCGCCAGGGCCTCCCTCGCCTCGAGATCGGCGCCGAGGCGCAGCAGAAGGCGCACCAGGTTTACGTGCCCGTTAACGGCGGCCAGGTGCAGGCACATCTCACCTGAAATCGAACCAAGAATCGGAGATTAAACAGTGATGAAGATATAATTGGAAAGAGGATACTTTTTTCAAACACTTCGTTTTTCGGGAATTTTACAAAAAGAAAAAACGCCGCAAGACTTCCTCAAAGTAGATCGTTCATCAATTAACCAAATAGCAATTAATAACACCATTTATTCATGTGCGTGGCACTTTTTATATTTATATGCATCCTGCATGTGTTTTATATCGCCGAATTCTTTTAGCAACTATAGATTACCGACTTGCATCTAAATTCTCAAGTTTCTTATCATCTTCCTTGAATGGAACCAGGAACATCGAAACGATGCCTAGCCACATGCTTCGACTCGTTGTGAGATATAGATAGAACTAGGAAGAACGTACGGTGAATCATTGTCGTCGGAGATTTCGTTTGGCGTCCCGCAGTCCAAACTAGGCCCGCGCCGATCGAAGTAAAGTTCTAAAATTAACGGCACCGCGTTACCAGTTGCATTGGCGGAATTCGACGACACACTTGCGTGCATGATATTAAATCGATATCGTCTCACTGCCAATGGCAGAAGTAGAAGTACGAATCTAGTATCGATCATCGTCGTATTTTCATAAACACATAAATGTCGTATAAGATATCGCTCCTTTTTATCACGCAGGAACTGCGTAGGACCGATTGCAGTGACATTGAAAGAATTATAATAGATTTAATTATCTATACGTTTGCCTCCAAATAAGGCTGTCGGCGTCACCGAGAGGCCGTTCAGTTTAACTCACTCTCGAAGAGTTTAAGACGATATACCTATACGCCGCTATAACGCGACGTAAGAGATTCTCTCGAATTCTCATGCCTGTTTAAAATAGGTAGCTCAGAGTTCGATACTACTTTACTACTATCGCGTGACTAGGGTTAATCATGCGGTGGGAGGGTAATTGACTTTTTAAGGGTGGGAAGTTCGACGAAAGCCACTGACGTCGACGCCGCTGTGGGGTTTTCCGACCGAACGAGACGAGGCGAGAATATCGAGCAGCAAATAGTTCTAAGGATATTTTTAAATATCAAGAACATCTGCTCTCTCACGCGTACGCTTCGATCTCGACGGCGTCGCGACGCGCCGCGTGATGTAACGCGCGCGCACGCAAGTATTAGCACCATGCCAAAAATTCCATCGTGTGTGCAAAACAATCCCTCTCGTGCCGCTGCGCTAACTAATAAGTATAACTTGAAAAAAATTCCATGATCTTTTGTCAACAGAGTGCGATGAGCTATTTGCTGTTGATATAAAATTGAAGTGTCTTTCCACGATAAAATTGGAGATAAAAATTTTTGATAACTAAACGTTTGATAATTAAATGTTTGGTCCAGTTGTACACTTTGCGCAACTTAAGAATCTTACAAGGATTGACTTAACTGTTACGTCAGACAAGCTGTAAACAAAATTGTTTCTTTTCTCTTTGGGAGAAGTAACGTGTTGCGTATTTATGCCTTCGGGAATAGATTAAAAAATTACAGCGAAATTGCTTTTGCGGAAACAACAATTTTATCTAATTCCAGCTGATGTTAATCATTATTGTCGCAGAAGTCGCTTATCTTCCACTGCTCGTTTCGGCGGCAATTATTTAATCGTGAAACTGAAAGCGCATTTCTCGAAAAAAAAAGAGAGCAAAAACAAGTAGACCTTGGAACACAATTATTCTAAATGAATAACTGATCTCTCGCGCGGAAGGAGGACTTAGGACTCATTCCTTAATCGTAAATCCGAATAAACATACGTGCGAGTTATCTAACGAAAACGCACGTGGGTAGAATTTTATTGATGCACATTCGTAGTTTCGTCCTCGGATTTCGATTAATTGAATTCATCACGATCGCGATTACGCCACGCTTAGCACGTGCACGCGTGCGTGCGTGCGTGCCTAGGTGCGTTATCCGCGTCGCACGAGCTTGCAGCGGAATACGCGCCGATGACGCTACACGGGATTTCCAAGACTTTTAAAAAGTCCGCGTGAATATTTCACAACGATCGCTGTCGATCACTAGCGATTTTTTTCTTTCTCTATATTTATCACTTCACCGAAAAAGCATCTTTGACTTGACACGTGCGGGAGTAAACAGAAAGCGTCTAACGATTCTGGATTTTCCGTCCTAATGTTCCTCTTTCCTTTTTTATTAAGAAAAAAAAAAGATCTAATTTACAATTTACTTATTAGCGATGCACGATCTCTTTTCCAGCTTCTCCGATTTCGCAGATTTTGATAAACTTATTGTTGAACACGTCAACCGCAGACTCGATCTGCTGCCGATCATAATTATTCGATTCTTTGATTTATGGCGATAACAAATCTCGCAGTCATTTCCGATTGCTTGATAACGGATGTATCGGCGAGAAGTACTAGTGTATTTACTCTCGGGGAATTCCTACGCTATTATGACGAAAGGAATCGCGTTCAGATAGAGCGTGACAATAATGCGGCTAAAGTTCCGTGAATAAGTACGATAAAGCTGCGGCTTTATGAGAGATTTGTCACACGGAATGTATCGTATTTACCGTCATTAGTCACCAATCGCGATTAATAACCAAAATATATGTAGTATAAAGTTTATGCAATATTTCAATCTATAACGTTATATATATATATATCTTTCTAATCTATCATCAGATTAGATATTAAGACTCTATTAAAGTAAAGATAAAAATACAATAGAAACCATTTTTAATTACATCTCTAAAGATTGTTCTCGTGAAAAGTTTCGTCCTTACAATAATCATTTGCAATTTATATACAATACCGTTTGAATCTCGATATTGAAAGAGTGGTAAAATATTCTGAATTAATGACAAATTATCATTAAAACGTAAACATGTAGGATACTTAGATAGTGCGACTTTTGAAATTCAAATTATCTCAATCAGGTTAATGTATCTATTTCTTTGCAAAGGCGATTGAATATTTCCGATGTGCCTAAGACGATGGAACTTTCAAATGTGGAACGTGAAAAAGCGTGATTCTCTAAATGAAAGTGATGAAATCACTAGGAAACCCACACGGTTCCTCCTGACGCGGCATCATCGTTATTTCGATATATATTTGCAAGCCTTAAACGTGACTCGTTTTATGCGGTAAAAATCATGTCAGGATTTTCCTGCCATCTCGACATCCTTTGTGCCCAACGTCATTGTGGATTGTCTTTCCTCGCACTAACGTTACGCCGATTAACGGCAATTATATTGCAAACTTCCAAATAGCTGTCGTAACCGCAGGAAAAATCGCAGGCGTTTTAAAATAAAATACGTCAAATACTCTTTGTCGCGTTTACATAATCTTTCAGCTGCGAACGCCGTTTTGTCCTGCGATGATTAATTCCTTCTCAATTTTGTCTAATAATACTTATGTGTCTTCTGTCTTATTCATCGCGAATTAGCTAGTATTCCGAAGAACAGGCTCAATATTTAGTACCTACCGTTATAGTTACGTTGTTCCAAATTCTGCGGTAACGCGGGTACTGTTTGTCCGGGCATCAGCTTGTTCCGCTCCATCGGGGACAATGGGTCAGTCAGGGCCTTGGCGCAAGCGAGATCTCCGCTCACGCAGGCCAGATGGAGGGCCGTGTTTCCACGGAAATTTCTCAGAGATGGATCCGCCCCCGCCAGGATCAACCGTCTGACGATTAGCGATTGATTCGTCAACACTGCCAGATGCAAAGGCGATTGCCAGTTGTCATTGTAGATGTTCAACAGACACGGATGAGGCGCTATTCTTATCAAAATGAGCGCAGCCTCCACGTAGCCCTGCATAATTGCGATGTGCAATTGCCTGTGACAATAAACGCGTTATGTAAGAATAAGCTGCTAAAAGGTTGATGCAAACTTGAGACATCATGTGTCTCTTATAACGCTCTTAATTATTTGTTAATTCTTAACCCGAGAGAATTATTCGTGGTCCGATTTTAACGTTTTTCTGATTTATATTTTTTATTTATACATATATTTCGCGTTAAAATTATCTTTTAATGTAACGAGACAGTTTTTAAATAAATAAAATTTCCGCTGTTTCAATTTATCGTTGTTTGAGATGAATTCCACAAAGAGTTCCTTAATGAGTTTAATTGAATGAGCCAACGAGCTCCGTCAAATGTCGTCACATATTAAACACGTATATATACACATATATATATATATAAGTATGCATATACATATATACATACATATATATATATATATATATATAAGTCATTAGATTTACGTAAACACAAACGTCAACGTTACGCATATTGATGCTCGCGAATGAATCAACGTGTGCTAGTTTTGTAAAAAAAACTGCTGAATAAATGTTATGCAGTTCTCGTAAAAAATAAAGAGACTGCACGTAATAATTAAGCAAGATTATAGAGATGATTATATTTGCTAGGTTGAGTTTCTCGTTATAGTTCATTATACGATACAGATCAAGCGATATAGAAACTTCTCTCTTTTCCCGCTACTTTATCAGATATTTGAAGCTCTAACACATTTAGACGAAATATCGATTTTTCTTTTATTTCAAAAATTGAATTGAATATTAAATATTCTAAATATTATATATTTTTTAGATAATCGGAAGAGATTATCAGCGCGCAGTTTTGTTACGTGAATTTTGCAATATTCAAAATTTTTGATGAAATTATAAATCGTGTTCTTATCACAATAATGCAGTTATTGACCAAATTTGAAATATTCGCGGTAAAAGGAGAAATTAACAGATCATCAAAAGCAAATTAAAATCTTTCTGGATGTGTGTAAATTAATTTTGATTAAACGGCATTATTGTGTCATAAATTATGTATAGATGTTTTGCCAGTACCACATTATTTTTCAACGGCAAATCTATTTAACCTCACAAGTAGTTCCTAAGAATTGATCTCTAATTTGGCGATCTGTATATAATGATGATAATGATTGTATGTAAAAAATATTCAGCAATTTATACTTTGCTAAAAATTATTTATATTAACTACCTATAACTTCAAATATCGCGTTTCTGTTTTCATCGATAAACACAAAGGCTATATGTATATTTACGTAAGTATTTACATGACCTAACTGTATTAGCCTAGGCACTTCTACCGATGTTAAATAGCTTGAAGAATAACATCAGCTGATCCGCATCCGGTGCTTCCAGGAATAATTATTGTGTGCACGCACATTGATAATGACAAGATCTAAGTACAATACTTGTTTTGTGGTCAAATTTGAATATTTATTTGCGGTAAAGACATTGAAGGAGTTAACAGAAGTGTTCAAATGTTTTCTGAGTGCGTAAATCAATCTTAATTACATAAATTACTGCATCATATAAATTAATAAACGTATAATGATCAATGTCGAACTCACGTGTCACCGTCGTCGTCCTGCGCGTAGTAAAGCTGCCAGGTGTTCTCGTTCATTATTGCGCTTTCCTTGGCACCGTCCTGCCGGTGCTCGTCGAGCAGAAGGTCGTTTCGGTGCTGCAGGCCTGCGTGGCACGACTCCGCTGCCGCTTTCACGGGCGTCAGCCCGAGGATCGTCGTCGGCTCGGGCCGGAAGGTCAGGTCCCCGCCGCTGTCGACGGCGAGCGCATTCAGGCCGGACGAGCTGAGCTGCTGCTGCCGCAGGGTGAGCTGGTTCAGGCCCTCGCTGAGGTCGACGTCCACGACGCCGCTGTCGACGACCCGCGCTGACGCCTCCGCAGCCGCCGCCGTCACCGTCGCCGACGATGACGACGACGCCGAGGTCGTCGCTCCCGTAGCCGGTGCGGCACGTCGGGCCTCGTTCATCATCCGCTGATCGTCCTCCTGTTGCGGCTGCGGCTGCACCCCGGAGTCGCGGATCTCGTCGCTGACCTGCATATTGCCGGCCGACAGGAATCCGGAGTCGACATTACCCGAAGTCGCGAACTCCGAGCTGTCGTCGTCCCGCCGGCCCTTCTCGCCCGGCCCGTCCGCCTGAGCGCTCTCGCTGGGGGAGTACCACATCTTCAGTCGTCGCCGCGGAGAGTCGTTTCGGAAAGTGTTTCCTCCCACCCTCGACCCGAAAAATAAACAATAATCAACAGCTATTAGGACGCTTGCGGAGCGCCGCTACTGTACCGCGTCCTCGAGATGCAATGCGCTCCGAAATGCCGACGTTCTCCTTATACTCCTCTTATCTTCGTCTTCTTATCTTTCCGCGGGATTCATTACGGACATTCCCATTTGCGTATATTACCCTCCTATGTATCCTGGATATACCCTCAATTTTGTTTAACGCGAAATTTCTTTTCAGTATACACATATACTTGCGATCGTGTCCTCTTCGTCATTACGCTCCGGCTTGTCGTCGATTTTCTCGATACTCTCTCGAGTCGCTCGTAAGTCGAATCTCCTCAGTGACTTAATGTCTCGTTCGCTCTCACCGACGTGTAACCAGACTCCGACTCCTTTCTTCCTGTTTATCACTTTTCATCTGTGTTGCGTATTATTCTATTTTTCTTTTTCTTTTTTAACTTGAATATTCGTTCTGCGTTTAGAGACGCACTCCGTACTATTCCGTTTTACGCCGCTTGCTGCATCGCGCGAATAATGAAACGCACTCCGATTGATTTCTATCACGAAGGGGTAGAAAGCACGGGTGGAAATCGGCTTGGTCGGGCTCGTCGTTGTGACATCGAATCGTGGTTGTGCGAGCGTCGGCGAACCTCATCGTCTCGCGTCTCGAAACAAACTGATGGGATGGGAGTGATGGGTGGTGAGCGCGGCAAGCCGCGAGCGAGCGAGCAAACGGCGTTGAAACCGCGCCGACAAACGAACGAGAAGGTACGCTCCGCTTTCGTGCGCACGTGCGAGAAATGTCATTGACCACGTGACTGATCTTGACAAGTCTGTATGCACAGCGCGCGCCCCTTTGGGACTCGTATAAATTTTCTGTTTTATTTAAAATCTATCTGCCTATTGGCAAAAAGTCTGAAATCCATTTCTGCATCATATTCCGTGGATTCGGGAAGAATTGATATCGGGAGGGATTTCTGAAATAGAACAGAGTCGCTTGAAATGTAAGAAGTATTAAGTATTAATATTTTTAAATGTAAAAAGTATTTAATAACATAATGGTACTTCTTTCAATTAAAACTTTTCAAGCGACTCTGTTCTATTTCAGAAATCCCTCAATTTCTTCCGAATCCACGGAAAAATGTAGTAATGGATAACGTTAAAAATTTTACATAAATTTATTAAAAAGATTGATAAAAAGTAATATATATATAATACAAAAAATGGAGAGTCTAAAGCAAATATGATACAGAGATTAAAAATTGAGTATTGGACACACGTAAATTTAAAAGAACCGATCATTAAGATAATAATTATAATTAAAAGGCAGTTACATTTAATTTGAACGGTTTTCTTGAAAAGAAAAACATTTGTTTCATTATCGCACCGCTAATAATAAAGTTAAAATAAAGAGCATGTCTCACGCACGATTAAGGAACTCGTCGAATTCGTCAGGATTGAATACATTTTGCAAAAAATATTTTGGCATTCATGCAAAAAATCGGCTACACTGACGCGACAAATTACTGAACATTTCGTATTTCTCGGGTTTAACAATACCGCTTCTTGCAGTGAAGTATATACGCTACTTTATAAGTATAGCAACGTCTGCTGGCGCCTGCGCATTTGTTCGTCCGACACGGACGATGCCTTTAGCGGTATTACAAACGCGAAAGCGGAATGGGGAAAACCCATTCCTCGAACAGGGCTAAAGGCATCGTACGATGTCTTCCACTTCCGTAATTTTGATCAGAATACGTCGCGTTCTTTATCTGATAACCAGGAGTACCTTCTAGTACCTCGGTATTTAATACGATTCATTAATTTCCTGAAATTTTATAATCTTTGAAATGCGAATATATCGTGTAAAAAATCAGTATATCGTATGCAGTATATCGTTCAAGTATTTAAATTTTATACGAGAGATAAAATATAGATGTTGGAATCTCCCAACGATGGAATTAATGCGCTTCGCGAGAGCGATATCTCGTATAATTGTTCATCAATTACATTGTCGGAGAATCCTGCAGTGAAACGACGCCGTTTCTCCAGTATCTAAATACTGGGAAGCCCGCGTGCTTTCCCTCTTTTTTTCTATGGGTTAGATTTCTCTGAAGGAGAGATAACTCTCTGTGACCTTTTTGAAATACCTCATATAAATGTTACACATATACGTTATAAATTCGAAATAACATATTTTGAAGGTGGCGGTTCTTGCTCCAGATTTTTACATCGGGTTTAACCGTGTTGCGTCTTACGCCTCCAACAATCCCGTTACGTTTATTCCTGATATCTCTTTCGTGAGATAGACTTTTCTGTATTAATAAATCTTTATAAAGGAAAAGAAACATCTCTTTCTTTCCTCTAAGGTCATCCGCTCGAGGAGTTTCCGTATATATTTATAATTCATCAGAATGACATTCGCACGATGATATTTTCATTCTACGCATGCATGATGACGTGACAAATGTCAATTAATGGAAAAGGACAACGTAAGAGAGAAATCTCCGGTTTTGAAATTAACCCTGACCAGAAATCTTTGATCTTCTCGCTATAACTCTTTATAAGCACACAGATTTGCCGACACGTCTAACTTTGTTTTGTTGTTATCACAGGATAACAACTTAATACTTGGATTAAACCAAGCAAATGTTTTCATTATATTTTAAGCTCTAACGGAGCGGCAAGTTTAATTTTTTGCTTTAATATTATTTTTATTTTGATAACATTTTCTGTTATCATTTACTAGTCTTATAATCATGTTACAAAATTATATAAAATTTTGATCTAATATTTTACTATCTCATCAGATGTTTATTCTTTTGTAGAACTAATTAGTTCCTTTTCTTTTTAAACCTTTCTCTTGAAACTTATGAAAAAGATTTTTTCTCTCCTCCTCCCCCCTAAGAAAAATACAGGTAAACCAAAAGGTAAACAGTAAACCAAAGGTAAAATGGAAAACAAAATGTATCTCCAGAGAGACTGATAGTTACAGATTGTTACGGAAAAAGACGAAGAAGTAATGAAAAGTGCTAGATTTTTTGTAACATAATTTTTTATTAAAAATAATTATGGCTTTTTGATATATTTTTAATTTTTACTATCTCAGACGTAACTCTTTTTTTTTTATTGAACTATTTAGCTCCTTTTCTTTTTAAACCTTTCTCTCGTCTCTCTCAAAATACTTATAAAAAAAATTTTTCTCTCTCCC